TGTTTATTAACTGATATTTTTAGAGATGTGTGAGTGGAATTTTCCAATTAATTTCCCGTTCTCTCTTCTCATTTCTGTCGGCGAGAAAAAAAATTACAAGAATATACGATGGAAAGAAGTACCGAAAGTGTACACTCAGGGAAATTTTTTTACTATTTTCCAAACACAAATTGCTCTGAGTATAAAACAAGCCACACGCACTCAATACAACACTTGAAGCGTCTCGAAAGTGCTTCAAGGCATTGAAACCCCCTCGTTATTGTGGCTCTAAAGTGGGTGCAAAAATTATTTGGCATCCGCCTTAGTTTGAAGGAAGACGAGCACATTTCACTTGCGTGCAATAGTTGGGAGAAGATGGGCTCGAGGGAGGTGTGCACAGTGCCTTTTATTTTGGTCACGTTTTTTACATGACATAAAATCCTCGTTTCTTGTGGTTTTTCTGCCCTTTTTCCACACATCCAAGCTGTCTCCCCAGAGAGAGAGAGACGCCCAGGAGTGGAGGAGTTGCAGAGGCATCGGTCTCAGAATGCCAGGATATCGTCAATATTCCAGTCGATGTGTGGACGATTCCCAAATGTTTAGAGGTTGTTAGTCTGATCATCGCGCTGATGATGATGTTCGGCGAGTTGGCAGTGGAGCATCATTACCCTTTAATCAGGAGGAGCAACTAAATTACGTGTAGTTTTATTTTTATGACAGGTATAATAGCTTTTTAATACACCTTTTTTTGGGGAGGGCTTTCCTTGCGTGTGCACAACTCACCCGAGATGGGGTTGGTGCTTTCCACCCTCGTTTTTGTGCTTCAATTTTATGAGCATAGGTTTATGCGGGGGAGTTCTTGATTTTATGCCTTTTTGCTCTCCTAATCGATATGCTATTAGTGATTTTTTTTGACTCGAGCGGAAATCCAAGAGAGTGAAAAAAGACGCGCGATTGGGGGAGTTTTGCTATCAAACATTTCATTTTCTGTTCTTGAACTGTGGGCGGAGGGTGAAAAATTGGTGTGGAGACCGTTTTGGGCAGAAAGTTTCCGTGGCGCGATTTGTGTGATTTAGCACGGCGTGTAGCATTTTATCGAATTGATGACCTTTGTGTTCGCGGAATTCTCAAAGTGACTGTAGGTCAAATTCCAAAGTTCCGCAATACTCAAAACTTCCCAATTGAACACTTAAAAGCTCACAACATGACGACGACCGCTTGAATGAAGTGTGTGAGTGGTGTGAAAAATTGAAAGACTCAAAAATAGAAGAGAGAATGAAATAATCGGATAAAATTTTCAACCCAACACTCGTGCTTTATTTGACTTAATTGAAATTTATTGCACTCACTTTTCACCTTTTTGAATCCTTTGTCTGTGCTTTTGTGCACCAAACATTCGCACTTTGCCACACTTTTCTCTTTATGTATCGGTTTGTTATGAAAAATCTAGCTATTGAGACTCAATTGGGAGAGAAGTACTTCCTCCTCTCGGCCCAGTTTCACCTCTCGCGAGGCATGATTTCCGCCTCCAAAAGCTCACCGCGAGGAGGTGTAATAGTTCCTTCTCACGTAATCAAGTGTTCCCCGCACAAAATACACGCCTAATTAATAGCAATAATTGTTGAACTGAAATAAAGGCTTGAACGGAGAGAGAAAGGAAATGCTGGTTATTCTGTACAAGACGATGCTTTCACAACGACTGAACAACGAGGACTGAGAGTGTTCGGCGGAAGCGGTGGAGGCGCCGAACTTTGCTCCACACTCGCCGGCTGTGGAGTCACTCTTCGTGCTCTCCCCACGAGTGGTGAACCTGTGTGAGTGCCCATGATGATGACGATGATGATGATGACGATGGCAACAGACGTCGATTTGCCGTCGCACGAAATTGCCGAAGCGAGAGCGACAAGTTGAGAATGTGCAACTGAAGGTGTCACATGGAAAATCATATGGAATTCTCTGTAGAAAGACATCCAGGACGAGAATGCCCAGAAGATCTGCCCAGGAGTCAAGCAAGAGAGAAGGGAAATTACCGCATTCCGCCCTGTTTCTCATACACAATCACCCAAGGCGAGCGACAAGTGAAAGGACTGACGTGTACATGAGAAAGTTGTTCCCCGAAACTTTGATTAAAGATCAAACGAGAGAGCTTTGACTATGTGTGAGAACAATTAAGCATTTTGTCCCTTCTTTAGTGGTCCTTTCACGTGTCTCTCCTTGAATATTTCATTGAAGCTCTCACGCAGTCCTCGGGTGAGAATGCGAATGAGGTTTTTCTGTGGTGAGCTCTGTCCCAAAACTTCTCCATTTTACAGACCTTTGTCCAGTCCAACTTGCGAAGCATTTCCAAAAATTCTAATCTCCTCTCCTACGCTCAATTTTCCCATATTGCGGCCGCACTTTGATTCTTCATCGCCAATCTACCGTAGCTTCCGGCAAATGCGTTGATGGCAATCAACTCAATCAAATACATAAAATCACTTCGTCTCCCTCGGAGCGCGCAGCGAAGCTCGATGCCACACATCCCAATGAAATTCACTCTCCCGAGGTTCATAATAATAAACATACAACACAAGCCATAAATTGTGAGCTGGGATTTCCCATTCAGTTCCCAACAGTTTTTGACCAGAAAAGTCAATAAGGTCGGAAGAATAAACGGAATGGCGGGAAATACATGTCTGGCAGGATATGAAGATCCTGAAGTACTGGCGCAATGCCATGAAACTTACGGAGTCTCGTCTTAACGTAGCTTTATAGCTTTTCAATACGGTTCGCCTCGTTCTTTCCCAAGATAAGTTTGCGTTCATTATAAAGTTTTCGCTTAATTTCTTCTCACGAATCTTACTTAAATGAAAAAGCTCAGAGTTTTTGAAAAATTGAAATGCAAAGACGATGAGTGGAATCTGATCGTCAGAATCACCTTCTTTTTCACCAAAAACTTCAAAGTAGGTTAAATACAACTTATGCCAACTTCACCATGAAAGTTTAAAGCACTTAGAAAGCATTCATGTCATCATAGCCATTTCACAACACTGATACGGGTGCTTATCGCCGTCTTCTGTCCCGCATAATGATTCAAATTCAAAGATAACTCCGAAGATTGGCGTAGAAGAGCGCGAGTCTCATCTAGATTGTATTCGAACAGCGCCCGGATGTATTTTCATTCACTTTGTCTGCAATCCAGGATCAATTAAATGCGAGAAATAATACAGTGCTTCGCAACGAAAAGTGCCTTAACATGCGCAGATTCATTAATAATAACTTGACATGTCTGGTTTTTCACCGCTTGTGCGATGGGGAGTGTAAAAATCGATCCCCCGAGAGTGTGTGTGGGACAAGAGAAATTTCTTGAAATAAATTGAAACACCCCTGATTGTGACACAAAAGAGGCACAATTGGGGCGAAAAGGGCGAGAATTTTTCCCTTTCGGTGTTGTGCCATATCATAAAAGATTCAGAGAAATTGCTGCAAGGCACCCACATTTGCCCACTCATTAGATTACACATGTTCATGAGAGAAAGAGGAGATATTTGCCTCGGCGTTTGGGAAAGAAATTGTGGCAATTGGACGGAAATGGAGATGTTTGGAATTGTTTCTAAGCCACGAGGGATGAACAGAAATTTGAATAAAAACAAAATTGAGAAAAATTAAACATAAACATTGAGATTTATGCCCTCGAGTCAGTGGAGTGTGACTGGGAATTTCGCAAAATCTTCATCCCTCCCGGCAAACTGATAATGTGTCGCATTGTGTCATTGTCCAATCCACTATATAGGATAGCTGTGGGATGTCAATAGTGGGCGAAATGCATAATTGAGGTCACTTCCGGTATTCGATGGGTGGCACAACTGCTTCCGTCCACTATTCCTCAGGCCTGAACATAGGGTAGACTTTGTGGGAAATCCACACTCATATCCAAACATGCATTACACACGGGCGAGTCATAAATAAAAGCTATTATTACCACCACCGGCCAGAGCAGCTCCGCACAGTGGCTCTTGGGGGGTGGCGAGGAAAAAAAGTATGTGTGGCCGCTACTTTTCTCATGCCATGTGGAGAACTGAATCGATTACATTACACACATAAAAGGGGAAGTTAGTGAGAATAAAAGGGAGTGAATGTGTGTGCGGAGAAAGCTCTGGGTATATAAACTTTTTGCTCATTAAATCCACCCCAAAATGAAATGAATGCGTTGTGCCACGTTCTCGGCGCTGTTTTGCGCCGTCACATGGGGACTTGGAGGAGCTACAGGCCACTAGTTGAAGTCACACCACTTTGGGGTTGAATTGTGAGCGATACATGGCGAAGGTGGTGGGTGGCGACGAGCGGTGGGGCGAAGGAAGTAGTTGCTCATCCACCATCCCAAGATGCTCTTGACTTGGCAGTTTATTTTCCCACCCTTGCGGCCCAAGAGGAAAGTCACCCCATATCAAGATTGGTGGGAAAAAGGCGCGCGTCTGTCAGCAAGGATTATCGAAGATAATGTATACACACGGAGGAACTCGGAAATTGAACCCACTTTGATCTCTTCAGCAACGGAGACTCATTTTCGTCTCAGTGTAATAATTATAATAAATCTCACTTCGTCTCTCGTCAGAAAAAAAGATTGATTATTTTGTCATGCGGAGTTTGCTGAAACTTTCGCAAACTTAAACTATCCATTTATATTCATGTCGTATTTTTATCAAAGCAACAAATCTTACCCCTGTGCATCATCGATGCGCCAGTGGGTGGCGAAGAACAAGGGTGGTGAAGGAACACTTTGGGGTTGAATGCGAAGCACATAACCAGGCGAAAACACGCCACATCGCACTCGAGTTGCTCTCTTGCACCCACGAAGATGAATGCGAAGCAAACCCCGTGGTGCTCAGTGGGTGGAAATCAAATGGAGCAAGTCATACAATCTGCACACTTTCCCCTCAACATAACTGGTTGCACATCAGAAATGAAGTTGAGAATGATTTCCTGTTGCAATTTTGTTCGAGAGATTTCTAAAATGACTTCGAAGACACAGAAAATTGTCCATAAAATTTCTATATTTAAACATATTTTGCACAGTTTCAAACATTATGCTTCACACATCAATGCAATATTTCATTGCCACTTAACACAAATCTCTCTGAGTTACTTTAATTGATCAATCAGCATTTTGATTAATTATCCATGTGACAATTCAAGGATGAATCGAGATTTGGGAATGGATTTTCTGGGCATTTGGGGAATGGAAAGGATTTAATTTAGCACATTGTTGTCGTGTGATAATGTATAAATCATTAGGAATAAATGTTGTGGAATTAATTATATCGCGAAATTGAGCCATTAATTGACACTCACTGAGCATATCATCAAAAACTCATGCACTGAATACAGTGAGATTTATTAGTTGCCTAACTACCGTCCGAGTATCATAAGATTTTCATAGCTGAAATAAATCGTTTAATTATCAATTACTGTCCGCTTAGCGTTGATGCTGGAAGTAATTGAGTGATTAATCATCTTTTGAAAATCTAATTATACTACAGAATTCTATTCCTCTCATAACGCTGAAGTTAAATTATTTTACACATATTCATAGGTTAAAAGTTGTTGTTTTTCAAAATTCTCTCTCACTTCACTACCCTTCACCTAATCAATGTAACACTGCCACATAGACTTTCCATTTACATAATTTCAATCGCAAGTCGGATTCTCATTGCCAACATCCACATAGGGTATATCGTCGCGATGCAGGGTAACTTTTGGCTGTTCTCTTAATTGAATTTCCTCCCTCAGTGTTGGCATTTCTCTGCGCTCTGCAAATTAATTCATCATCATCTCTCAGCACATCACAGAAAATTCTAATTTTCCACACTACAAGACCCATGGATAAATATTTCCAACTGATAGAGGTGGGATTTTACCTAAATTGGCCAGCAGTTTCGGCTGCAGTGGCAGAAGGAGGTCAACATTGCCAGTGGTGGCGGCTCGTGGCTGCAGGGCTTGCAGTGTGGGCACCGTGAGGAAATCGCCTGCGATGGGAAAATTGCACAATTATTCTGTGCGGTCTCATTTCCTATTTATAGACTGCTAATTGCGCCCGTGAAGGCACATTTGTTATGACAGTGAAGCTCAAGTGACAAAAACCTTCTCCCATTCCAGCACAACACGAGAATAATAATGATGAGAGTTGATCCAGAACTCACCTCTTTTGGGAAGTTCCTAATATGTATGAAATTACAGGGTAATTTTATCCACTTACCTGCCAGCGTCTGCCATTCCGGGGCAATGAGGAGTTGGTCAAAGTCACAATGACATATTTCCAACATTATTCTTGTGTTTTTCTACGGATGTTTGGAATATGTGCGAATAATTCTGTCTGTCGCATATTGGGGCAAATTCAATTGTCCCACCATTGAAACACCAGAATGATAGATGTCCTCTGCTTCTCTCCCTCAATGAGGCTTTCCCTCGAGGGCTAGCAAATCCGCTTTTCACATGTAACTTCATTGCAATTCGAGAATTCTACGTGTATGAGTATTTGCAAGAAGAAATTCTTGAAGGAAATGAAACCATGCACTAAAGTCAATACTTGAAAGTGCAATTCAACAGTTTTTGCGTCATTTAGCAGAAAAGCACACAGAAACCGCACACGCCAGTAAGTCGCCTTCTGGTGGCCACAAGTCCACCCCCTATTTGTCACTGTGCGACCTGGAAAACACTAGAATAGCTTTCGCTGGACTATTGGGTCGAATGCTTCCTGGAACTGACATTCTACACCCATTACCTTCTTCACTCCTCTCTGACTGATGATTGTCCTGTGCTTGTGCAGGGACATTTGCAAATTATTCACTACACCCACACTCAGCCACCGAAATGTTGCTCTTTCGCCAGGAGGGAAAATCTTCTAGCTAATAAGATAAGAAAAACAATTTCTCGGCACGTTCTAACACAGTGACAAAGAGATTTAATGTCACCCACGCCTTCACACACCGTACTCAAATTTCCTCTCGTGTTAATTAAACTTACATGAGTTCTTTCGGCAATTCTTGGTGGCTTCACAGGAATGCTGAGTGATATTTTAGAGATTTTGGTTTCTAAAGTGGCAGCTTCAGGAAATTAATTCAGTGTCAATTCATGAAATTGCCTGAGTGATGGCGTGAAAATGGAATTGTTTAATATATGGTAATTTCTTGGAAGATCAATGACTTTGAGCAACTTGTCATCCCCTCTGTTTTTCTTGCGGATGAATTTACACATTCAAAATATTCACACTGGGTCTTCATTGATACAAAGTGCTTCTTATGGATTCTGTGTGCCAAAATTTATGGACTCTAAATTGCGCTGTCTAACCGTAAGTGTCGTGGAAATGCGTTCATTGAGCAACATTCCGGGTGAAAAATGTACATACAGTGCATTCAGTTCATACAAATCAACACACTTTTGTGGGAAAATGTGAAGTATATTGTCGTATGTGGGGAACATAAACGTAAAGGTGAAAAAGGAGGTGGAAAGCTGCTATAAATCACTTGAGTGTAATTTCATTGTCTCATCAGCATAGGCAGTAAAGGCATTCATAAATCTGTTGACGTATAGGCATTCTATCGACCAATCTCTCTCGTCTATTGAGAGCTTTTTGGGCGCACATGGTGTGGAATTAGGGTTGTGTTTTCACGATCGTGATGTGACGGATTTATGTTGAAAACATAAAGTGCATTGTACATGTGTGAGTCCAGTTGTTCTTGACAGTGAAATTAATCAATTAATGTATCGAATTCATGGGATGCAGCGGAAGTTGGGACTTTGAGAGAGTAACGAGTCATTGGGCAGTGCGTCATGCTGAATGTTATCTTTGGGGTTGACTAGAGGGGGTGAAGGCGTAAATCACAGTCTAGAGGGCAGAGGTTTAGCGGTGCATAACTGAGCCTGGAGGCAATGAGAATAGAGCATTTTGCAATAGCAATGAAATTTGGGTTATATACCTGGGCGATTGGACATTAATAGGGGACGCATGACCGCAAGCCCTGGTACTGTTGGACTCTGTAAGCTTAGTCCGATTATATTCACGGTGTCCACGTGTCCTGTCGGGACAATGGCAGGGAGAGAGAGAGAGAGAGATAATTGCCAATTTGTATTTTGGAAATACGCGCTTTAGCACTATTAATAGCTTAGCCATGCTTTAATTGCACTATCATCGACTGAATTTAATTTTCAAGGCTCTTTATAAAGGCACTTGCAACTCAATTTAATCAAAATCACATTTTACTGTTCTATGTGGTAAAGACCATATTTTTTCAGTAGCCCAATTAATCTCTCGCATCGCTCGTTAAAGGTATTTTGTGGGTTGGATGCGTGCTTCACAGTCGGGCGCGCAAAAGCTCATAGGAGGATTAAAATCCACCCATAAATTGTCACCATTTTTGTAATCGTCGCGGCTTTCATGACATTGCCACCTCATAAATCACACATGTGTCCTTTTTATAGCGGTAGCTGAAAACCCCCCTTTTTATTTATAAACTACCGGAAATTGCTAATTATTTCACCATCCAAGTATACTAATAATACTCTTCGGAAATCCACAAGCCAGGACACCCGGGACAGCAATCCTTGTACTAAAAAGAGAACACGAATACAGGACGATCACAGACAGTAACCAGCAACACAACGGTTGAACATCGAAACAGAGAGCTTTTCTGAACAACAACAAGGACACACCGCGAAAGCTCGAGTGCTTGGGAGAGCTTTACCGATTTTGGCACTTCCGAAGGCATCCTTGAAGATGGCAGGATGTGTATGAGACGCGTGCTGGTGCTTCATGGCATTCATGCGGCGATTGGCCGGGGCTCCGGTGTCTCGTTTGCGTCTCGGTTGCTCCACCGGAAGGACTCGCCGACGTCTCTTGGGTAGCTTGGATCTTGCCTGTGCGAGAGGGTGATTAATTGTCGGCAATTATGCAAATGGAGAGGCAAATTTTTTTCTTCACACTCAATTCACTGTGCATTTGGATGGACAAACAAGAGTGGTTTTAGCGAAATGCCGCTTCATTGGTGGAATGGGAAGATCCCCAGCAGGGAAGGTGAGCTGCAGAGACAGAGTGCTAACCCACATGAATAATTACCATTTGCCCGGTGATGCGTAAAGTGAGTCGTTTATGTTTTAAATAGCTTCGAGCCATTCAGGAGTGGAATATGCATGATTGAACTGCACGAGGCGTTCCTATACGTCACAGTATAATTAAATAAAACTAATGGAGGCAGAAAAATGACAGAATAATTGATAAATTCAAACCTTCTGTCTCTGCAGCATCATAATTAATTTCTGAAAAATGTACTCACCTGAGTGTGTGAGTAGAACATGGAGAAATTGCTGACAATGACCGGAACAGGAAGAGCAATTGTCAAGACACCGGCCAATGCACAAAGGGCGCCCACAAACATTCCCACGTACGTTTTAGGTGCCATATCGCCGTATCCCACTGTCGTCATGGTCACTATGGCCCACCACAGACCAAGAGGGATGCTCTTGAATTGATTATCCGGGTTATCCTGCAAGGAATACATGATTTTAATCAGTGCAAAATCTCTTAAACTTTTACTCCTGTCTTTCTTCCCTCAAAAATCCCGTCGTCGGTTGTAAACTGAAGTATTGTATACCACTAAGACCACTTTCCAAAAGAAAGGCTTTAAGCATAGCATGCGAAGAAGGAAGATTTACAACACTTTAGTTTACGCACGACGGTATGCATTTGAAGTTTTGAGGTATTTTTCATAAACCGAAATCCACTTTTCCAAGTACATAACTTTATGTCATCCATCTTCGTTATGGATATGGAAACCATATAGCGAAATTTTTTCATAAAACAGAAAAAGTATTGCTGTAAAAGTTTTGGATACGTGAACAGAGTATTGTTCATAAATGGGAAAGAAAATCGAAGGAGAATTCGTTGATGGATATTGAGAGTCTTTTTTTCTGGTACTCTTTCCTTCATACAAAATGCATCACGTCCTTGATAAACTTTGCACGGCGGAAAGTTACGCTAATGTGGCAAAATAGGAAAACACGGAATTAATTTTTGCTCCGATAAAGCACACCCAGAGAAATCAATAAATCACACAAAATTTCGGTGAGAGGTAATTTGAAAGCAAGGCACAGATAAGGCATCTAAATGAGAAATTGCGTCCCTCCAGGAATTAAAAGCAAGAGGCAAGTGAGTAATTTGGGTAAACAAATCTCACAATTTCATTTTATGAAATTCTGTGTTTTAAGGTAAATCTTTCCGTTCCGAATGCTTGGCGGAAATGTAAGCAAAATTGAATAAATTTCACTAACATCATCTTGTGTATTTATTTATATTCACTTCCACCTCTTGCTTATCGCAAAAGAGCATCTCAGGCTTGTGGGGCAGCAAAGTGGAACGATGGGGGATTCTCACCTGCAACTTCTCGGCGTAGTATACGAGACTGGCGAAGACCACGATGCCGAGAACGAGGAAGAAGACGAGGAGGGTGAGCTCCTTGGCGGACGCCTTGAAGGTGTGAATGAGGATGCGGAGGCCGGGCGAGTGGCGCGTTAGCTTGAACAGTCTCAGAATCCGGATGATGGAGAAGGCCTCCAGCAGGCCCGTTTGCTCCCCCATCTGCTGCACCACGTCCGTGTAGAAGCTCAGAGTGGCGGCCAGATCGATGATATTCACTGGGGATTTGATGAACTGGAGAATGTTGGGGGCCACCTGAGAGTCAGAATGATATGAGTATCATTTTATTCGTGTTGATGTTTCCCACGAGTGAATGATCAATGACCACTGTATTTGCTATTTCCCAAGGACTATTTGATACATCATGTCCTGGAACATTAGGCGTCAGTGCAATGACTCACCACAAAACGAACAGCCAATTCAATGATAAACCACACATTGCAGACAAGCTCCACGTAGAAGAATGCCAAGTGAGGCTGTCCATGTGAGTCCTGCCACCCATCCTTGCTCAGGCTTAATCGTCTCAAGTGGAAGAATGTTGGGGAATGTCGTGCTTCCGTGGAGGTGGTTCTATTGGTGAAGCGGCTCCGATTGCCCAGTCCGAGAGATGCCATGGCATTCTCCTCTAGGCTGGGCGTCGGTGTGACGTTCGCATGGGCGATGGGTGTTGGAATTTCCACCCGGAATCCTGGGTGGGTCTTCAAGCAGAAGGATATCACAGAAGTGCATATGAAGAACACAGAAATGCAAGCAATTAACTGGAAATGAAGCAGACATGAAGTGTACGTGAGCAAAGTCTTCCATATGAGGATTCTCCAAATGCCACAGGATGGTTCAGCAGACCTTTGCACCTGTTGAGCTCGACGGTTCATCAAACATCGCCCATATTTTTGGCTTGACACGCTGCCAGCAGTTCAATTCTGTGCTCTCTTCAAATCCGAACAGACGCGATATGGCATCTTCAGAAGGCTGCTCGTTGTCCAGATCCAACTTGTCCAGAATGGCCAGTGTTGTCTGCCGGCCGCAATCCGCAAAATCAATTATGTTACAGTCAGTCACATATAGTGCAAATTATGCTGAGGACAAAGCCAGAACCTGAGTGTCGCGGTGTATGCTGTACGTTGACCAGCAGCACGGTTCAACTTGATTAGAATCTAAGCCCCAGAATTCCAGCTCCTCCTCGAACAGCGGTCCGCACACATCAGTCGGGTAATGAAGCTTCCCTGTCCTGAGGATAAAGTGCGTATTCAATGGTAGAGAAAATTCAATTTACCTACCCATCCAACCATAATATAAAGTAGGGAAATTTATTAAACGTGAAGCTAGCATGAAAGCTCTTTTTTCCGCAAAAATGAACTTAAGTCTGTTGATTTAAAATGCAATTTTTCACCACATTTCTCTAAACATCACGTTGTGCTGAATGTACACAAATTTACAACACGGAAAAGGATGAATAGCTGCAAATACAATTCACTGAATTCCGGTTTATAATAATATTCTATCTCTAAAGCGTCTGACAAAGAACACAGTGAGATTTATATTCCCAATTCCATTGAAATGTAATATCAATTGTGTTTTGAATCGATGCAGAAACTGAATTCTCATATTGCTTGGTGGGAAAAGCCCAACAGCATTTATCGAGTTAATATTCATAGCTTGTTCCTCGTGCAAGTTAGGAGTTTTGCGCGGAAATGAAGTCAATTAGTTGGCAAGCGCTCGCCCTTTGGTCATCCCCCATAACCATAATTCATTCATTCTCTCCCAAAGTACATTAATATCAATTTTCTCATCATTAAAATCAACTTTCTTCATCATCAACGCATCTGTAGTTACCGATATTCTCAGTATATTACGTGGTGTATCGCAAATTACCATAGAATGTGACTAAACAAACAGAGAAAGTGTTTCACATATTTACACTATCCCAACTAATTGATTGATGATGGAAATTTTGCCATAGTTCCCTTTGAGAGGAAGTGACATTTAATCAGCTCAGCATCACTGACCTGTAGTAATTGAGGATCTGAGCAAAAACACCCGGATGCCGGTCGAAGAAGTACTCATTCAGGACGGGATCATAATTCGCCAGAGCTTCTGTGAGGCGAGACAATCGCGTTGCTGGAATCTTCTTCAAGGTGGCTTTATACGTTTCATACCTGCAAATAGAATGGGGATAGAGACAAAAGACAGAGACTTCGTCACATCCAGATTAAGGATATTTTATATCCTGACCTCCATGAATTAGATATATCTTGTCTATAAGCTTTCTGTGAACTCAGACAGAAGGAAGTGTCGTTCGTATACTTTCTTTTTCAATTTGCAACGAAAAGAGGACGAAGAAATCTTTCAAAGGTGAAGATGTATGAATAAGAATGTGCCGAGATATTTTCGCTTGATTGATTATTCCACCTGATATGTTCAGCATATATTTTTTTTCACTTTCTCCACAGACCCATAAAAATGCCTCACATGCATAATCTGAAAGGTTTCCAGCATTCAAACAATTTTTTATCATATTCTTTTCCTCAGATTTATGAAACGGAAAACGGAATACAAGCTCCTCGGTGTGAGGTGAGAAAACATTTAATACAATGACGTCTAACTTTAAAGTTTAAACAAAGCTCACACTATGAAAATTTTATTATGCAAACACATTAGTTGCTTACCGAATCCCACCCACATTCAAGATGATCCGATTTTCACCATCCATGGCTTGTGGTGAGGGTGCGAATGTCAGCCCATCACTGCAGAGTTGCTCCTCGACAGCAGGTGGAAATGGTGTCCCCTTGCAAATTGATTAGACTAACGCTCCTCCTTGTTCCACTGTTCTCCTCCTGCCATGCAATTCAGCAAACTTTTATTACACCCCACAAAATCATTTCCACGCTCAAAGGTTCAGCAACATATCCTCTCTGATCTCGTGAAAGCACAGCACAGGCTTTATGCGTGGTGCCTCTCATTTCCAGTGAGCGCGATTGCCTATATTCAAATGTCGCGTATAACCAATTGCAATTGGACCTGGTTGTGTGGCAAAGAATACTACAAAAACTTTAATATGTAGTGTGAAAAATATATGAATGAACGCGTTTTACTGACAACAAATCAGTTAAACACTGTCGTAAACAACACACCGTGAAATGTTCATTTTGTGATAAGAGAAAAGTGTGATTTCGTGATTTTATTTTATTTTTTAGACAACTGTGAATTTATTTCCGTAAATAAAGGAGAGTTTTTACTATAAAATAGTATCTCACATAATTTGAATATACATTATATGAAATCATTTGACTTTCAGACCACAAGACAAGTTCTCACATATATTAGAACTTTTACTAAAGTTAATCAGTATGTTTCACCCTCATCAACGATAGGAAAGCATTTCTTCCATATATTATACAGAAATCTGTACGTGATTGTCAGGTGCAAGTTCTGAATTGTGTCTGGATCGTCTGAACAAACATTTTGGAAATATGGGAAATATGACTCTAAATGAAGCATAATCATGATTACAGAAAGTTTATGGCTGTAACATCATATTCATTATATTGACTCTCATAGACGAGTTAAGCTGTGATAATCTGTGTAGCAATTTATTATGTATCAAAGGCACTTCTAGTATTCTCAAGGGTATGTTTGCATGAAATGGATTGCTGAGGAGATCCCATCAAAGGTAATTTGACCTACATTTCTCAAACTGACGTATAAAGGCATAAACTTTGAGATGGACGTAATTTTTCAGGCATGTTTTTGTAGAATTTTCTAAAAAATGACGCCTGTATTTTGCACAAAAGTTCCATTTGTAAGAAAACTTGTTAGAGTGTGAAAAATTAGTTAGAAGAGGTTCCCATTATCCTTTTCCTGGGGGTTGGGCAAAGTCATCCCCAAGGCTTGCCTTCTCACCTGCACACACTCTCATGCCCTGTTGTTGTAATGTTTCGGCAGAGTGGCACATTGGACGCATAATATGTGTGTTTGTATTGAGTCCATGTGAGAGAAATGATCCCAGCCATTGTCCCTCGTGCGAGGCGAATGTCGGTCACACGCATCGCAACGTAATTTATGTATAATAAACTCGTGGAACATACATAAATCCCGGTGAGAACATGTGTGCATTTGCAAGTTAAATATTTAAAGAGGAAACACCAAATTCTTCGCCACAGACACTCCTTCGGCCGCAAACATTTAGGATGGAGTGTCCTGGAATGACGTCGTAAAAAACGTCGACAACCCCATATGATTATCGCCCGAGCTATGAGCCGGGGTATAAAAATAAATATATTTTCTTATTTTCTCAAAGCGCCGCAGCACAAGTTTTCGCCACATTCTGCCACTTCAGCATGAAGGTCAGGATCAAGAATTTTACACCATCTCGAGCACTTTAGCGGTGGAAAAGCGCCCTTTCGACTCTGTGCACAAATATTTCTGTGAAACTTTCAAGGGTGATTCAATTAAAGTTACAGCGCATGATGAAAATTTCCATGCAATTTACTGTGAAATTGTAGAATCTATTTTTAGCAGTCTTCTGACGCTGTCCCAAACAACTTATGCAGACACATTCATTCTTCATTCAGACAACTTTACACTCAGCCAAAATGGAGGGTCTGTGTGAATTAATAACACCTGATTTTAATGAACTTTTCAAGTGGTAAATGGTGCAAATTTTAGAGCATTCCCCTCACATAAATTGCACGATGGCGCGTCATTTGCAATTCTTCAGCCAGAGTTTGAATATAAATTTTCCCCACTCTGTGGAAAATCGCCAATAAAATATAGTTATGAATTTGAGCATGAAAGGCAATCAGAGTTTCGAATTGAGCTTCTCCTATAGAAATGTGACAGAGATGAATTATTGCATTTATTCGGGATGCACTGAATCACAATCATGGAAAAAGTTCCCTTGATATTAATGTCACTGACGCCAAGTGACGTAATATTGAGCATTTTTGACTGTTGGAATTTCATAAAGCCAGCAGAATATCAATATATATACATATTTCAATTTATGGTATTTCTAGTTTATCTGGTATTTCGTGCAAATATGAAATGCACAAGTAATTATTATACTATACTTCAAGCGAAAACCACACATTCCATTACGAGTTGCACAATATTTGGAGCTGTGCTTTCGTTTAGTTGTTTTCAATGAATTTTCAGTGGCCAAATTGCGTGAATTTGTCCGTTTCTCATGTAAATTTTGCTGAATTGAATATATCACTGAAATTTATAACAACCCAAATGCAATTACCTGGCAATTTGATTCAAGCGAAACCGACTGTTTCGTTTTCATTTAGAGTCCCTTTTCTAGTGGTTATTGAATTGATATTTTTTTCTATCGTATTAGTGATTGCGCACAGTATAAATAAATAAATTATTAAATTGCGCTATTTCCAAAATTATCCACTACATTTAATTTTAAAGGAAATCATCGGTGTGAGTTCATGAAAACAAGCCACATTCCACTTTAGTGACTCTTTTCACTCCCAAAGCCATGCTAAATGAATTCCCAGCTCAAAATGAAGCTCACAGACTGTTTTCATTCATCTGGTAGACAGAAAACATGGATCATTTGAAAGAAAAAGAGTGTCTTTTCACACAAAAAACCATCAAGGTAAATGTTTTCAGGGTGATTCCGAATACATAAGTAAACAGACAGGGAAATTCCCTGGTGGAGTAGGTAGAGAAATGAGTTTCCTCTTAAGAATCGTCTTCTCATTGGATTCACGTGAAATCCCTTGAGGGTGTGCAATTCTCCCTTCCAGAAAGTGTCAAAAGACATATTTTTTCGTGAATTCATGGGAGAGATAAATGCAAATAAACTATCAACAAGTTTTCCTTATAACGCCTGAATCTGAGCGTCAAGTGAATAAAACATTCAATCGTGAATATTTGTATGATCAAAATTTCAATAAAATATTCATATATCTTTCCGGGGCCTTTCCCAACCAGCTCGTTTCCCCCTTGTATTTTCTTTTCCTGTGAAAACGAACTAAACCGGAAGCACGTACGGCATTTTTTTTTCCTCTCCCTCTCGCTCGCTGGGATTGGTATTTGCGTAAAGCGATATGATTCTAAATTAAATTCGCTGAGAATATTTGTTTGATCTCTGCTTTTGTATGCCGAAGAGACGGAGAAAAAACCTGTAGCTTCATCATAATTTCATGCATGATTTTCTCTCTTTCTCTTGAAAAGGGATTCCTTGAGAGAAACCACAGATATTGCATGCGATTCGAAAGAGTTCACAAAGCACTCGAAGTTTCATGTCTCAATACAAAATCCCAGCTGGCTGTAATCTCATAAGGCTTAACCACGCTTGCTGACTTCACAAACGAAAGGAAAACAATGAAAAGGATCCCCTACTGACTCACTGGCAGCACAAGTGTCTCTTCGACATTCCAGCTACATATTTGCTCCCTTCGCATCCCTTTTTCTGCCCTGTCTCCTCGAATTTAAGAAATATCAAGATGAATGTATATTTTTCCCCTCCCTCCCCCTCCCCGCCCCTTCGGGCGTCAATCTCATTTGTGTGAATTGTGGGATTCCCAAAACAGCGCTGAAGATAAGAGGCACCAAATTGACACTGGCAAGATTGTCGATGGAGGCGCCTGGTGGGGGTTGAACAAAGATTATAGTTGTTAAGTTGTGTTGGTTGCAAGGACCATTGAGAGCGTCCCAATTTGCTCCCCATGTTATTTATATATGTATTTGCCACCCTAATCCGCCCCGGGTCGTGGGGATTGTGGTCGTGATGGAGAGGATTCACACTTGGAAAAATCAGTGAGTTATTGCTCATTCAGCAGCCGTTAAGAATTTAATACGACACCGAGTATGAAGTTGTGACTATTACGGGATTCTCGTCTACCATGTCATCAAGGATTTCCATTGGGCTTCTCGTCTTTTCACCGCAAAGACCAATGAGAATTTCAGGGAGTCGACGAACAATCATTCTGTTAACACTTGATTGTCTCCATTTAATCTGCGGGATTCATACTTGGAAATATATTTAAATGACTCTCGTCCGATTTAGACTGATTTACAAAGAATGGAAAGAAGGTAAATCAATTAGGCACCATGGGATAATTCTTGTTCTGCATCAAGTCTGACTAGAATCTCATTTATTTTTCAACCCCTGTTAAGATTAAAACCGTATCAATGGGGTTTCTTCGTCCCTATCTATGGTGGAATGACATGGCGCGAACGAAAGGGTTTGTTTTTTGAGTGTTCATCCACTCACAGCGTCAAACTTTCGACTATGTGACAAATGGCTACGTGATGACAATGCGATTGTGTAAAATAATTAAAAGCCGAGCTAAAATACTATGGAAATTTGGTGTAATTTAATTGAGGTGACAGAGGTACAGCCAATTAATGCCGGTGGAGTAATCTCAATAAAATTTTAATTAAATTGCTACGTAATCCTTACAATATGAGGTGTAGGAGAGACACTTTTTTCACCATTTATCACCGTGAAAATGGGGAGCGGGAGGCAAATATTTGTTGGGTGTTTCCAGGGTGGAGATTAGGCTCGGTATTTGCCTCAATCTTTCAGCTTTTTATTTCACATGTAAGGACCCCAACTCCTGCCTCCTAGCCAGAGCAGAAGCGGCAAATTTGTTCCCATCTCGAGTGTCATTTGGCGTGAGAATAGCATTTGGAGTCTCTCTCTCTCTCTCTCGCTTTCGCTTTACACAATAACACAAGATGATCCCCATGAATGTTGTAGAAAGTTGAACAATTTAGAGAGGCTGAATGGAGGAAATTTTGGGAATGTGTCTCTGGAATTGGAGCTTTTTGCTGGGTGGGTTTGAAAAAGTATTGCTCAATCTATCAATCACTGTCCAAAATTGCCCCCCACCTCGTGAAACATCCCCAAACCACCAATATTTTCATCACTGTCAAATTATTGTGAGTTTATTGTACTAATGGGAATTGTCATCATCACCAATGTTGTCCTATTCACCACAATTCACCCTGTCTGTGCAATTTATTCAATAGGGATAATTAATTGTCACCAAATTAACAAGCCTACAGCTTTAACCTGTTCCTTGTCGAGAGGATATTTTACCAAATTTTGAAATCCCGACATGTTCACTCTTTGTCTCTTTTATTATGTGCATATACACATGAGCGTGTGCTTAATTTGGTCTTTGTCGCTACAAATTGACTTTTCATGTCATAACATTCGAAAACCCACGATACAGTACAATTAAAAATTAATACAGTGTTTTCATGGCATTTTGGGTCGAAGAGCTCGACAAGTGATACGCAATCTCGTGGAGGTGTAGCCTTTCCACCTACGCCACCTTTGGAAAATTCATTTGTGAAAGGTGAGGCGTAATCTCGTTAAAAGCACGTGAAATCGCTATGTGGGTTCAACAGTTCATCTCATTTTGCCAGTTCTTTGACTATCTCATTGCTCCATTTATACTATTTCAACCGCAGATCCACTTAATCTATGCTCACGATGAGCCTATTATGCGACATAACATATTGCACGAGGAATTTCTCACTTATCGCAAAACACAATGCACCAACAGGGATTCGCGAAAATTTTCATAAAATTACTATAAAGTCTGTGTTCATATCATGCCACTGTGTATGAGAATATTATTCCGCTGCTTGCATAATTACTATTTGCAGATCATCAACGAGCATATTTTTAATCAATTCACGAGCACCAGATAAATTATTTTCAGTCAGATAGAGCACAAATTCACCTTGGTTCTCTGCCAGAATGTAGAGTAAAATTTATGTATATATGGAAATTTTTGTTTAAATAAATTGCAACCATAATATCCAATAAAATTTTGCAATATTTCTGGATTAAGCTAATTGCTTTGGGAAAATCCATAGATCGTGACCTCATTGTGTTTGTTCCATCCTGACCATCAAAATCCAAATATTTAAGTTACGTTAAACGCGCCAAACACTTGTTGCTGAATGTCTCAAGACAAGAAAGCTTGAACTTCTTCAGTATTAATGTTGAATCCCTTCTATCATAATTTCCTCTTAATCTCTGTAAACACGGAGTTCAATTGAATATCTCATTTTCATCCCGCGTCAAAATATACTAAATTCTATGGACTCAATGAAGCCTCTTGAAAGATTATATTGAATGGGTGGATTTTTCACATTGCCTCTTAAGGTCGACAAAGCTCTCGAGCCTACAGTGTTGCTGAAAGTCCTCTTCAACCCGAGAAGGGTTGATTATATTTGTACAATGTTTCGAGTGACGCGTCGACCAATTCACGCGGAAACTCCGCGAAAGAAAGTCAAAGTTTGGCATTCCGTTCCAATGAGGGTGTAATCTTTCCTTTTAATTGTTTCGCCCATCCACCCGAAAGTTTCCAACAGCGAAAAGACACGGTATGGCTAATTAAATAGGACGAGATAAAGTCAAGGCAATAGGAAATATTGCTGAAAAGTTAGATGCGTCTTGATGGCTCAATATGTACCCAATTTTCGTGTACTTTCCAACCCCGTAAACAGACATAAAGTCTGGGCAAAAAACGTGGCATCCCTTCGGGGTAGCCGTGTTAATTACGTGGTGGAATGGGCACTTTCATTGTCTAACTTTCCAGGCAAATGAGCCTGTTGGAGATTTGTGCTGTTTTTTCTACGCTCTTGGGTGGAAACTGAGGAAATTTATTTGCTCTTCGACCACTTGAGAATGATGGATTATGATTGCGTGAATTATTTAAACTTGGGAAAGTGTACAAAAAAAATCGATGCTTTTTTCTCGCTGACTTATGCATAATTTATCTCCCCAAAAAAGAATGATCTATAAGAGCTGTGTTCTATTGCGCACTTTATTATACTCCAGTCGTCAGCCAAAGAGGTGAAAAAAGCTTAAGGGCGAAGAAAAATTGTTCTGAAACTCGGATATTTAATTGAAAATACATCAACACTGCACGAGCTCCATGGAAAGAACATGCATAATTCCATTATCACGCGATCCTGTTCAGATTCATTGTTGGCTTCGACTATAGTTGCCAAAAGTGCACTTTTCAGATATTCGTGTACAGATTAAATGAGTCTGAACTGGAAGAATGAATCGCCATTGGCGATGCTGGATGTCATGCTACACAGTAGATAGAACTAGAAAATCCTTCTGACCGTGCAAAGATCCTCTCTCATGGCGAACTGATATGGTTGTAGCGAGAAATTTTTGGTGATGGTTCGGAAATAAATTTTCTGTGTCGCCTATTTTTCCTGTCACTCTCATCATACACCCTTGGGTCTACCCATTTCTCCCTTGGAGACGAATGGGTGGCTGATAAAGCTCCTCGTCGATAGATAACACACATCTCAGGCCTCCAACTCGAGAGGGTGTTTGACTATGTGACTCCATAAAATAGCAAATAAATGTTATTGAGTTATTTTAAAGCGAAAGCGCAATAGATATCAAGGAGGGGATTTGCATTGGCAATACAAGGGAGAGAACAAAAAAAAGGGGAGAATATGATAGGAAGGCAACTTTGTTCATGAACATTTCGCTGAAATATTTCAAGTATAGTGAACAGCTATTCTGATCGCGAGGGTGTGCTGAGAGGATGTAAAGGAATGTCGTACTAGAGAGAGGATGTGATTCATTTTAAATGCCTAGCTTCAGTGGTGTGTACTTGAGATACACACGCCGAAAAGAAATCTCTTTGGCAGTGCAAAAGAGAACAGTCTCTGGGAGAATTGGAATTTCTGGCAGGGAGAATGAACTTACGGAATGCGATAGTCAGTCAATTTCAAAGAACGCCACGCGATGTGCTTGTGGTGAAAAACATGTGAGGACAACGGGAGGAAAAACAGGCAAAAAAGCCACAGAAAACAGTCTATCGAATCATTCAATGTGGTCCATTAAAAATAATGCTTTTAGAGCTGCTGCTGTCAAAGAGCCTTGTTGTTCTCTGAACCAGTGAACACTCTCAGCCAACAGATATCGATTACATATGTTCCATTTCTATTCTTTTACCCACCAGCCAGAAACAACCAACCCCCAATCAGCCCCCACAAGTGGAATGGCACCACTCAAGTGGCCACATGATGGAAGTTTTATGATGAGTGATTTGCACAGCGAATTAAACTTTTATGCACAATCGGAGCTTGACGGCTCAAAGGGAAAATTTACACTTAAAGGGTGAGCATTTAAAGGGAATTGTCTCCCATAATGGCAAGTTTTAGGGAGGATATTTTGGGTGTGTGTGAGGCAATTTATTGGGCCAATTTCACCCCAAATGACCACAATTTCTCTCAGCATCTCATACGAGCCTCACATCATTGAATCGTCAACATTGCAAGAAGTTGCTGAATTCTTGAAATATTTTCTCCTATGTCTTTAAGGAGGGTGAATTATGAGGAAAAGAACACTGGAAAATATTACTGAAAGCCTGACGAAAATATTCAACTCGGATGTTGCGGCAATTTACTCAATTGCTTATAGAATAGTTGCACTCGAAGAAATGCCCATCAAAATTTATCTACAGATCATTTTTGCTGGATAGCTCTTTTTCTGAGTGAAAGCGGTGGAAAATCTCACATCAGAGACTTGAGAAGATCAGAATTTGTGAGATTTTTTTTCCCAACGTTTGAGCTTTTTCCCGAGTGTACCTCAGTAACTCATTTAGGGCTTCTGCAATTAGTAATGCAATTAAAGATAATGTTTCGGAACTTTCGCGGAAGCTCAGCACTTTGGGGTGGAATGTCCTAATAAAATATATGACGTAGACAGAAGACAAGCAAATGCTGTAATTGCCAACTCATTGTGCGATTTCCATATTACATTTCGTCCAGATAGTTATGCAGGAGTTCTGTATGGAATCAATTGCATCATTGACGGAGCCATTATTGAGTTACTGGAAATAATTGAATTTTGCTGTGATGATATGTGAGATCACTTCGAGGACTTCATTAATTTTGCTGGGCTCAAGAATGATAACCATATCTTATTTAGTCGGCCGTCTATTAATTATAAAACTTGCACAATAAAAGTGTAATAACGGCGGGCAGTAAAAATTCTTTATGAACACATCTCATCCATTTTCATCTCCATCCATGTGCTGTTCATGAACTTATGACAGCGAAATAAATTCTAATCACAAAACAATTTTAATTATAAGTTTTCTCACTTGGCGAGATATTATTAATCATAAAGAAAAATTCCTCTGTCTCATGGGGTTGAGGGATTTTGGGGAATTTTTCCCTCCCGTTTCGTATTTCGGTTAAATTTCACCTGCCATGTAATTAACGGGGGCATTTGCCGAGTGGAAATTAGGAAGAGAGGCACCGTGGCATTGGCTTTTAATCACTCAGGCTTGATGCCTTAATTGCCTGGTTTCAGGATTTGAAGGTGCAAATTACCTCGGCTTAATCACACTCTCACGTGGACACTCTGAAGCACAAATCACACAAGAACTGTTTAACTTTACGACTGGCGTCCAATAAATTGTGCAGTGCAGAGGATTCTTATAGTTGCGGAGCACGAAATCACTTGGGAGGATGTAACGGAAATTCAGAGCTGCGGTGGGCGTAAATTCAAAAGTTTGTCCAAGAGAGCACTCGACAGGCGAAGAAGTTGAAGGAGAAACCGCAATCCTACTGCTTCAGCATCCGACGACAGATGAACTGAAGATGCCGTGGGAAAGCAAGAAAGTAGCCGAGCAGCTACTAAATGATTTAGCAAGCGAGCGGCTCCAACTCAGAAACAGATTTATCCCCATCACACAGTCAGCATCCGCACGCAATTCTCACTGCCTCCTCACCTTGTCCCACCCACACGTCTTTGCACCCGCTGCGCATGTCCCGCTCACGGAAGACTCCGCGGCACAGCACTTCTGTCTCAGACCTCATCGAGAGCCGTTTGTTTTATTTACCAAAGTCACCTCGAGCAGACTTCATCCACCAACACTCGTCGCCCGAGTGGATTTTGGCGAGAGTCAGTGGGGATGGTGGGCACTATCTTCACTCGAAATTCCAACTGATCCGCGCACACAATGTGGCAAAACTTACCAGCAAAACAAAAACTTTACAAAAGCCTTATCTCAAAGCTCCAATTTCCTGAAATGAGTTCTTCCACGCGGTAAATATATTCATTGCAATTTCTCTTGGTTCAAAGAGTTGCAACAAGGTTACAAGTTGCACAACAAAGAGTTATTTTTCACGAGAAATGTTGCTTATAATCCTGAAGAGGAAGGATTATGGGAATGCTTTTGACGCAGAACTGAATAAGCCGACCCCATTCATTGCATAGTCGTCGAATGAAACACACACTGTGGTTCTATAAAATTGATGCATTGTGAAAATGCAATTTATCGCCATATTTTTATTATTTATCATCTTCATTCATAGAAATTCAATCATATGCTTTTGATTTATTTTATCACCGGAATGGTCAAATTTCTATAGGTGAATATGATAAACACTGTACAACGTTTGTTATTTGTGTGTTGATGTTGATTATTTATGTATGTGAAAATGGAAAATGTCTGTTTGCGAGGGGGCGTTGAATCTGCCGAAGAAAAAATATATATATTGCATTTTCAGGCATATTTAAAATTTCATTTATCACACACACAAAAAAAATGAATTCTAAGAAATTTGAACAGATTTTCTCTTCAATTTGGCATCTGAAAGACAGCAAAACAATAAAGCATATCAGCAAGAATCATACCAACGAGAGACATTTAAATGCCGCTCAGATTTGATGGTGAAGATAAGTTGGGAGATCTCGATGAAAAGCACCCCCACATAATCTTCTCTGAGATAATATCCCCCCTCAGTCCTCAGTCACGTGAATATTTTATTATTTTAATGAAGTCTTAATAAGACATCAACAAACAGAAGAACCATTCCGTTTCACTTTCCACCCACCCACAGAGTCTGCGAAAAAGTCAGATTGTGTGCTATGAAACATTGTGTAAATTGTACTGTGAATGACAGAACAGGAGCGAAATTCCTATGAGATATAAATTAAATCATGCTCGAAGGCACTCAAAAGTTATCCTGGAGACCTGAGCAAAAAATGAGTTGAGCAAGTCCCAAAAAAGACATAAGTCCATCTCCGGTCTTACCGCCGTAATTACCCAGGGATAATTCCCATGAAAAAAACCCTACTTGAAGGGATTTTTTTACTGGCACGGACCCAACTCACCCAGCCAGCATTTCATTCTTGCAAATTTAATTGAACTTGCGGGGGATTTTCTTTAGCAAATTCCATTACCGAAATTATTCACAGTCGTATATTCGAGCTCAATTTTGCAAGGGGCCACTGACTGAGGGCAATTTTGCGAAAATGTGCAAAGAACATGATTTGATGAGTAATTAATTAGGCCTTGAATTATCATTAATATTTATGTGATATTTTCATACCCCAGAGAACGTAAGGAATGCCTCTTTGTGGCTCTTTGTCTCGCTTGCTGGCATTTAAAGGTTGTGCTGTCTTTAAGATGTTACTGAACTTTTAGTAGAATTTTGTCACTGAAGGCATTTAATATCATCGCATTACCTTCGCTTCGCCCCCCAATTTTATGCATATGAACTCAACGTGATTTGCACAAACGTGAATCTCAACGTCGATAATTGAATTTGCATTGTTCAAATATTATTCACCTGAGCAAATACCTAAAGGTTATTTTCCCTAACGACAGCTCGTGATGTGGAAGCTCGCACTGTGATGCCCATGCACTTACAGCAATGAAAACAGTGGATATTGATTTCTGCAGACAAAATTACACCTCACGGATGATTTTCTAAAAGCTGGAGAGAAAAATAATGTTCCACTCTCGATAAATTATGAAACAAGCTGTGTGGGAAATTGAGTTTGTGAGATCAAAGGCAATATCTTGTGGCATGCCGTCTTTGCACAATTTCCCACTCAAGCTTACTTCAACTTTTACAGCATCTCAAAGTTTAATTTTCTTATCAAATCTGCTTTATGCGAGTTCAAACTGGCACTAAATGTTACAACAAAATCAAATAAATCCAATTATTTCACTCCAAAATTGTGAGCTGGAATTATCATCAGTAGAAGCACTAATTCAATTTAGTATTCAATGTCACAAATCCTGCAGAGATCTATCGTTTTTCTGTGAACACTTGATGTATCCCATTAGATTGTGATATAGAATTTCCATTCCTATTTCAATTAATGGACATAGGTGTGCTCGTTCAGCCGAAAGCTCCGGAGATGAAATGAAAACACCTCCATTTCGAAGGGTATAGCAATTTTCATGAGTAAGGAAAGGTATATGTCGCTCAATTTCACTGTAGCAGGGATTAGGCAAAGTTTATGTCATGTGTTTTGTGATTATTATTTGGAAGATCTCACCGCGGACAGAGTCGGTTGAGGGAAATTTCATAAGCGGACCGCTCAGAGTACATTCATTAAGTGTCTCAATAGCCTGCAGCTTTATCATCTCGACACAGGAAGACCTGTGCTTTGATGCCCACGATATTATCCGTTTTATTAACAACCGTAACTTTTAGCATCAAGACTCTAAATAGTGTGGGAAAGGGTGGGGAAAACAGTGAGTTTGGCAATATCAACTTGAATTTCCGCTATACTTAGACTTGAATTAGCACATGAGCTTAGTTGGTGTGTCAGTGATATTATCTCTGCACTTCCCATCAAGGATCATCACTGGACACCGTCGAGTTGGGTGAAGCTCTGCGCTAAATGTATCCAACTGAGCCTATGATAAGGGTTGCCTATGGACGTGTTTACTGGACTTACACTTCCCTTTGTTCCATAATCACATACTCAGACGCGCGGTGGCAACCAACACCCGGAATGCAGGACGCAACAGGGAGGGTGAGTAATGAGATGACTGTAACCCCCGCCGTCAGATAATTTTGTTTCCGTGTCTCCCAGCATAAATATAATATCACACTCTGGCGCCACTTTATGTTTCGGCACATGGCAACCGGCAGGCATGAGGAGTCAAGGAGCTTCATTCGGGAGACGAGAGTCGATGATATCAAGGGGCATTTTGTCTCATGTACGCATGAGATTAATTTCTGGATAATTCACCTGCAAAATATACATTTTCATGAGACTTTCCGCCCCAAAGAGGAGTGAACACGCTCAACTACTCTGGAATCAACACAGTGTAAGTAATCCTATAATCATGTACAGGAGGATTTCCTCTTTGAGAATTATGACAGTGCGGAGATGTGTTTTAATCTCGGGTACAAACTCTAAACACGCCATCCGACACGCTCATGCCTTCGCTTTAAGAGCTGTGTAATTGCACTCTGGTGAATAATCGCCACGGTTAAACCATAAACTCGTGATAAGGTAAGAAGGTACATGCAACAGGCCTGATGTCCTAGCAAATAACCATCATCGGAACCGAAAGCAAACACTTTTAAGCCATCTTTGTGCGGCGAAAGGCAAAGAATATGACCTTTGCCACTCAATTCATAAATATTCATACCCCCAAAGTTGGCATGTTTATCTTCCTCTCGCCGCACTTGCCAGCAAAAACAGAAATGTCTTGGCTTTTTAATTAAGTCCCTTATTGATGGCTTCCACGTGAAGGAGACAAAAAAGAATTTCCGCTCAGTGAAATCGAGGGTCCTCGAAAATTGCGGTCGTTGAAAATTATGCCAAACACTCCGTGACATGTTATTAAAATTTTCCTGGAAATTTGTGTACGAGATATAAAATGGATTTTCGCCAGAAGTTGTTTCTGCTGCTCGATAGGGAAAAAAAACACACACACATAATTTTATAAGGCCAGGGGTGGTTTTCTTGGCAGCGCCAGAGTAATTTCGGGTCAGAGTTCTGAGAATTTTCCATGCACATTCAATCCGAATATGAGGCAATTTCCCAAGCACGTGACATAGCCTGTTGAATATCATTGGGAATGGAGAATTCACGAGAGTGAAAATCATAATAAAAATTATTATCATACATCCCAGAAGCAAAGTGGTGTTGTGCAAAAATGCTCCTCATCACATTGAGTGGCTTCTGGCGTTTTCTCAGATTCTCATTATGAGGTTTAAAATTTTCATCACTTTCTACACAAGGAAGTGAAATTGCGGGTGGGTAAGAGAAGCGACGAGAAACGAAATGGAAAATTCAAATGGGTAGCTTTCAATTATCGCCTCAATTTATTTTTCTTAACTATTTTCTTTTTTTCAATCTCCAACCAGAAACGGTAGCCTAATTCAAATGGAAATACATGGGGATTTTCTTATGAAACGCCACTAAGCTTGGGCAGCAATTTCATATCGTATTATTTTTCTCAATTTGGAATCATTTAGCGTGAAAACGCCTTTTTCTTCCCTTCATCTTTTCTTGTCTTGTGAGCAAAAATGACGACTTTTCCGCCTCCGAATTTGTCCATATCAATCTTTCTCGGAAGTGGCCTCGCACCACAAGAGTCCTCATTCTTCTTCCGTCTCGTAAGAATATCACAGATGGTGGATTGTTGGAAGGGAAGGAGTTTCCAACCTTCAGAGGAGACAGGAAGATGATTTCTTATTCATTTGCGAGGTTCGTAAAAAAGTCACGTTTTTCAATAAAATAGATCAGTGTATAAGTGAAATGAAGCTCCAACTTTAGTCTACTTAAAAATAGGGAGTCTAATATAGATGGAATATTGAATGGGAGGCAACGTGCAAAAAACAAAAGGATCACAGCGATGCCTTTGGGGATGCGTCGCGAATTATTAAATATACATGAATGACTGTAACGCTCCTGCTCCCCGGGTGAAAAACAAACTCCCCAAAGCGGGTTCGACTCCCCATGAAATCCCATTTGTAACTCAAGAGCCCTCTTGAGTGTTTTCTCATTTACCATGGGTTTTCATGGCAGGTGTCTTTACATTTTCATCCTTGGCAAAGTTGGCAAAATCAACAAACTCTCCCACTCTTGCAGCATTATATTTTTCAATACCCCTTTATTGAGAATTGTGTGTGAGCCTGTTTGTGGCACAATTGCTGTATGTGATGAGACAAAAATGCCAGAACAACTCGTGCAACATCAACGCAAAACTCTCCCAATACGCAAATGTTGCAAAATTGCTTTCTAATACACATACAAATTAATTTATAGCTCTGGTAACGAATGAAATTCAATCTCAAACCCCAAAAACAGCACTCCCAAACATGGTGCCCTGCAAAGTTTATTTTCACCCGCCATACCATATTATGTGTTTAGATTTGGGATGTAATGTAAAGTGGCAAAACGAGTCAGGGTAATTGAGTTTAAAATTGGGCGTATTAAATTAATGGGGAAAAATGCAAATCAAATGTTTATTCAGACACGAGTTGGATTTGAGCAAACAACCGCCATTTCAAGATTTTTGCCAACAAAGTGCAAGTATTTCGCCGGCAAAACTTATGGGATAAATTTGTCATTCAGTTTGCGTGTCCCCAAATAAGGGTCTGGCAAGGCATTTCCCATTTAGGAGGCTAATTTCGGCAATAAGTGTCACAAGGAGACTTTTAATGGCGGTGACCGATTTGAAAGTCAATTGGAAGGCAATCGATATCCATAAAGACATCTGCGAAATGGCCAAATTGTTTCCAGGGACATTTGAAAAGCAAATGTCGATTCATGCGAGGTCAATGGTTGAGTTGCAAATTTGTAAATTTATGGTAAATGTTTGATTGATTGGATTTGATGTAATTCAATCCACCCACGCAGCCATGGTGTCCTATTACAGTTCAAAACTTATCAATTGGATGGGTCATTTGGTCGGTGGTGAAATCCAATGTTCTTTAGATAGGGTTACGCTAATGACTCGTATATCAAACAGACATTTGATATATGTATGCATATATGAAAGAGGAATATCCACGACCATCATGTCTTTTTATATCTGCGTGACTGCTCGTAAAAAGCCAAATTTGAAATTTAAAAGAACGTAAAACGTGCAGGAAACACTCTCAAATTGTGGCACTTTTCTCTTTCTTCACTAAATTAGCACTCATTGGCGGTAAATATCGATACGTTTGAGTGAACTTCACACCCTCTGGTCTAATCGGTATCTTGAGACACCCTAAACATAACCTTAAGCGACAGGGATCAATCAAGTGGAAACACCACAATGTGGCTGATCGGCGCCAAAGGGGGAGTGAAGAGAATACATTGTGCCATCTACATATCATACAGTGGTGTCAAAAATAATATGAATGATTGGAAAATACATAAAAATCCACCCATAGACCGTCACAAAGACTTCGGAGTTACTCTTCACAAGAAAGAAGATACACAATGCGCAAATCACTTCAATTCTAAAAAATATTTCACCAAAAACTCTGAAAATATGCATTTATGAACGTACAAATTTACATCGAGTGACTATATTCCTCCCATTAGGTTTATGTATCTACTGTATAGTTGATGTTATCGTTTATATACTCATGCAAACATGGGATATATCTATATAAAAATTGTGAAATTTAGGTTTCTTCTATCTGTGATATTATCATGAGAAACACTGTAACAACCAAAAATGTGCGGCTTATATACATATAATCAAGGGGGATGAAAATCGCGATAGAATAAAATCAGAGTGAAGAGGGTTTTTTGGGGAAAAATGAATATGATATAGCTTGAGAGCAACAATTTTTCCAATATTCTATCGCGCGATGAATTCGAAGAACGCCTTCCCAGAGGATATATGTGAAGATTGGAGACAAAAGGGAATTGGGAGAATTATTGAAAAATTCTCTTTACGTTATGTATGTGTAGCAGATCAAAAGACACCGTGTGGATTATATTTTCATCCAAAATTGAATATTTTACTTAAATTACTTGTATGCTAATGTGATACATGACATGAAAGCCACCTGTTCAACGTGTAGAGGAGCAGTGTGATTAATTATTTTGCAAGAAATAGCATTAGATTCTGAGCTTTAGACTTGTCCTTCAAAACAAACCCTCAAGGCAAATGAGAAACATATAAACCTTCCCAAGCGGGAAATGAAAAACATTTTTCTGCATAACGACATGGATTTGTGAAAATGGAGAGAATTATTAGGACTGCAGAGCAATTTTTCCCATCATGCAAGACACCAAACAGTGAAAATGTTCGTCATAAATAATTCAGGGAACCCTGCTGATCCAATTCTCAGAAGCGATGCTTCCATTCTTTAGCGCCAAGCTTCCGTAGAACAATTTGCTATTCCTACCAAGTCGTGAAGGAGATTAACAAGCAATGCATATGAATTTCTACTTGTAGTTCATCATTTTTTCTCTGTACTTTAATCAAGAAATGTCTGGAGAGAGATCAAATTTATTTGTCTGCCTCTCGTGTTGTTTATCAGGCCAATAAATGTTGTTGTTTCTCACCGCCCAAAAAAGAGCCACACACTTATTTTCTTTGTCCAACAAACAACACAAACAACTTCACGGTATGAATTTATAAAATAGACACACGGCTATTACTCACATAAAGTGTTATACAGATCGTATGGTTGGTACTTGAGCAACTTTTACGGTTGGAATGGTTGCGGAATCAATAAAAATACACTGAGATGATTGATTTAAGGTTGGCTCGAATGTTTTTCTCACTTGCCGGTTGATTTAGCAACACTCTGGCTCGTATTCGCGCCACAAAATGAAGTTGCCACGATGCACGGGGGGAGGTAATCAAATAAAGGCCACCCTTCCTCAATAAAACCTTATTTTCAACTTATTTTCCGACGACTCCGCTGCCTCGGGGCCATCCATTTTTTTTCCTATAATCACCAAACGGATGAAAAAGTTTCCCGAACAGCCGCACTTCTGTCCGGATTTGATCCCAAACTCTGCTCGGGTCAGAATAGTGAGAAGCACAAAACTTTTGCCACCCCCAATTTCAGTAGATTTGAATGTGTGTTTTCTCTAGCGACGAGAGAAAATACCTAATAAGGATTTATAAGATAACGGGAATGATAAAAGGACGAAACGACCAAGAATGGCAAAAAAGAAGCACTTTTCCTATACATTATTTCTTACTATATTTTCTCTCTCTTTCTCTTGAGGAGGTTTAATCTCTTTTTGTTTTCTAGATGAATCACAGTTTGGACAAGTATTCATGTAATTTTACACATACATAATATTATATTAAATTACAAATTGAGGGTGAATAACAAAATAGAAGGGCCAATACTTTGTGGAAGAGATTCTTTTTACAATTTCACTACGTTATTATAAGACTTTCGCATTCTTTTTTTTTTCCTTACAATAAGAAATATGTATATTCAATAAAAGTTTGTCATCAACACTCTCGAGCTTGCGGTGGACAATATTTCACAAACTTTGGTCTCAATGGTCTCAATATGAGTTGAAATATCACTGAAATGTGGAAAAGTTGAGAGGATGAAAGATAAATCAACGTATTTGCATAAAGGCTATGCGATTGAAATGGAAGCTTTCAGACACACTTCAAGCGCTCTGAATGCTCTGTATCAATTGGGATTCGTCAAGCTCAATAGGTTCAAAAGATGCTCTCAATGGCGAGAAATTCACAAATATTGACCAAACTCCAGCTAAAGAGTTAGAAAGCAGTCGAAAACGACGCGACAGAGAAGTTAATTATGCAAATGAATTTTCTTCATATAATCAGCTTCGACTGTATAGTAAGTTTAACAATTCATTTGCTAAATATACATTAAATTGTCTTCAACCACAACTTTAAAAGGTGCGACGTAACGTTGAGAGTGTTGCAGACAAGCTCTGTACAATTGGGATTGAAAGAATATTTATTCACTCACCTATCTAGAAATTGTGTAACTTTTCACCTTATTTAAATATAGAAATTTTTCTCAATCAATGGAAGTTCTACAATTCAAGAGAGATAATTTATTATCACAAAAGTATACGAGCTTGGTAAAGTCGATAAAGGGTTCAGCGTCTATTTGGCTGGATTACTTCGGGTCATTCACGGCTATGCATTCCATCTTAACTTTAGAAATAATCAAGGCGGTATTTTGTGTCACGATGGTTGTCAGTCTCCTGGGCGGAGTCATCCTTTGTCACCTGGCGTGATTTGTTATCGACAGAGGGTGAAATTACTGCTGTTTTGGAGTAGAAAAAGAAAGACACCCAATTTAGAATAACCATAGAACTGACAAGGGAGCCTCTCCTACCAATTTTTGCCGTACCAAAGGCATCTTTGAAATTGTTTAGGTGGGCATTCGGCGGGTGCTGACTATTCTTCAGGCTGCTGTTGACATTGTGTCGTATTGTTGAGACCTCGGTGTCCCTCTTTCGCCTCGGCTGTTCCACAGGAATGACACGCTGACGTTGCCTCGGCAATTTGGATCGTGCCTGAAGTGCATAATATTGTGGCACTTTAGAAATTAAACTCAATCGGATATTAGACCACACATCCCATCAATAAGAGGACCATTCTCGACACCGCCAAACACCATCGTTTGGTGTATTTCGTAATTTCAACGGAGTGGAAAATCTATTTGATTCAATTAAGCCCAATTGCCCAGAGGGTAGAAATTCCGAGAATTACGACCCTCAAAGCTTCTCCACAGCGTGGAAGACCACATTCACATGCATTTTTAAGAAAATCCAACTTTACTTATTCAGCAATCATCCACTTGCGGACGAGCAGACGGTATGAAGAAATGACCGTATTCAATTACAAGAATATGAAATATACTCCGACGTATGACCTCTGATTCGTTTCATTTGCATGGGGCGGTAGTGCGAACAGTACCTGAGTGTGTGAGTAGAACATGGAAAAATTGCTGACGATGACCGGAACGGGAAGAGCAATCGTCAAGACACCGGCCAATGCACAAAGAGCGCCTACAAACATCCCCACGTACGTCTTGGGGACAATATCGCCGTATCCCACTGTCGTCATGGTCACTATGGCCCACCACAGACCGAGAGGAATGCTTTTGAATTGATTATCCGGATTATCCTGGAAGAGACACGGGATTAGACAACAATTTTAAAGCAATAACAGTCGAATCAGAGTTGAATAGCATTACAGGTTAATATAGATTCGAGATTCACCAATGTAGCTTAAAGTGATTACAGAGTTTTTATACTTCCTTGAGTAGTAAGAGATGGCTAAGACACGATTAAATTAAATAAGTTCTTTTAGAATAAAGTAACAATGCAATTGAAATTAAAACACATAGAAAAGGGAACAAATGGTGTCGCTTATTGGTAGTATCTACAATCAAATGTCCAACTAATAAATTGAATTCCTATTTTTTTGTAAAATCTATAATTCTCCATGAATTCAATTCAGATAAGAAATACGCACTTGCAACTTTTCAGCATAATAGACGAGACTGGCGAAGACCACGATGCCGAGAACGAGGAAGAAGACGAGGAGGGTGAGCTCCTTGGCGGACGCCTTGAAGGTGTGAATGAGGATGCGGAGGCCGGGCGAGTGGCGCGTTAGCTTGAACAGTCTCAGAATCCGGATGATGGAGAAGGCCTCCAGCAGGCCCGGTTGTTCGCCCATCTGCTGCGCCACGTCCGTGTAGAAGCTCAAAGTGGCGGCCAGATCGATGATATTCACTGGGGATTTGACGAATTGGAAGAGATTGGGCGCAACCTGCAATCAACAACATCATTAGTCCTGTCGTCGGCTCAAATGCATTCATAGCTAATCTAATGGTCGAAGACCCACGGACGTGAATGAGACAGTGAAATGACAATTGTATTGAATTCCTAATGGCTGCAATGGCAATTTCCACTGGGCTTCGGACCCGTATTAATTGATTTCCTGTGTTGCTTACCACAAAACGCACCGCCAGCTCAATGATGAACCACAGATTGCACATGAGCTCCACATAGAAGAATGCCAAATGAGGCTGGCCGTAAGTGTCCTGCCAACCGTCCTTCACCATGCTGGGCCTCTTCCATCGGCCGGAGTAATTCGTTGTTGCGAAGGTGGTCTGAGATGGTCTCATTGTCGATGCAGTCGTTGTCTCCTCTTGATATGCCACTGTTGTGTTGGTCAATTCACTACTGCTGTTGGCCACAATGAAGTCCACAGGAAGTAGCTCCACTCTAAAGCCCGGATGTGTTTTCAAGCAGAACACAATGACGGATGTACAGATGAAAAACACCGAAATGCACGCCACAACCTTGGGATGAGATGCAGGAATCATGGAAAGAGATAAAATGTTGTGAATTAATGAATGTGATTGCAGGGAATTCATGAAACATTCAATGCACATTGCTAGCCTTTACTTTGGCGCCCATCGAGCTCGACGGCTCGTCAAACATTGCCCAAATTTTGGGCTTCAGCTTCTGCCAGCAGTTGAGCTCGCCTCGAGCCAGGGCCTCCTCGAAACCGAACAGTCTGGCTATTTGCTCTTCAGACGGCTTTTCGTTGTCTAAGTCCAGCTTATCGATAATCGCCAGAGTAGTCTGCGTGTCGCGGTGGATGCTGTACGTGGACCAGCAGCACGGCTCCACCTGATTGGAGTCGAGGCCCCAGAACTCCAGCTCCTCCTCGAAAAGTGGTCCGCACACATCAGTCGGGTAATGAAGCTTTCCAGTTCTGCAGTGAAATTACAAAGCAATGTTCACATGAGAGCACAGCGGCATAAATAGTTATTAACTGCAACTATTGCTAGAATATTAATATAAACACGAAATGCTACAATGATAATGTGAATATTAAGCTATACATATATTGAACATTTTCCACACAAGCACACATCATCACGAGCAGATTTAGTGCACTGAAAGATGCAAATGACAATGCAAAGCTTTCAAAGAACTACACCAATGAAATTACGCTAAAATTCTATTCGTGTTTTCCTTCCCACTGAAGCTTTCAATAGTGAATTCTCGCGGATTTATTTACCCCGAAACGAACACGAAATGCATCTGTTGCCAGCTATCGATTTCCTCTTATTTCTCCACGATTTATCGCGAATACTTGGAGAGTTTTATCAATTGCCAGAGTAAATTAGACACACTGTGGAATGACAAATTTCAGGTGGGAAAATAGCTTTTTATCACCTCTGACCTTTTGTCACTGATTTTTTTTTTCGAAATGGCAAAAAGAGAGGCTCCAAATATTTTCATTGCTCTCTCCCCAAATCGACAGGGTGGAAAATCAACGAATTTCATTAAATCATTTTCAATAAAGGGCGGGTAAAACCCATATAATTTATGGAGGAGAGTTTTCACCCAAGTTAGTCTCGTTCTTTGATTTCACGCGACTCTCTCTCTGAGAGGGAATATTGTTGGGTGGAAAGTTTTCGTAAAACTTGTTGTGTAATAAATTTGACTAATAGAGAGCATTTTAATTAATTCCGCCTGAAACATTCTGATTGAATTTATTCGAGACATTAAATACACAAAGCAGCTGCTCACTTGGAAAGGATTTCTTTTTCTAACTTGACGACCTCTTTATTAAATTAAATTCAAATCTGGCGAGCTTTTCATCGCCAAAAGTGATGGAAGCAACATCTGCATACTCAAGACACTTGCGTTCTCCACTGCTCTCCATCCTTTTCATACAGCGGTCACTGTTTTCAGCCACTCCCTTGCAATTTATTTCGGATTAGTGAGTCTTTTGAGCTGTAATTTTGCATGCACATATTCATGGCGCTCGAGGAAAAAGTGCTACGATAGAAAGGCACATCAAAAAAAGGGGTTTTAAACTAAAACTCTACACTGACCTGTAGTAATTGAGAATCTGTGCAAAAACTCCCGGATGCCGGTCGAAAAAGTACTCGTTGAGGACGGGATCATAATTTGCGAGAGCTTCTGTCAATCTGGAGAGTCTCGTTGCTGGGATTTTCTTCAGTGTGGCTTTGTACGTTTCGTATCTGAGGGGATGGAGTGTTGAAAGGCCAGAGCAAAGTGGTGAGAAAAGTGGCAACTTTTGCAATGGAGGTGGGAAAAAAAGCTCAAACTTGTATATGTGTGTTGGAATGAAAGGAAAAACGGCCTACAAAATGATTCATTTAGAGTAAATGCTCCACTGTGATTTTCATCCTCACACTCAGGATGGGCATTATTTCACATCATCACGTCCATTCTGGGGTATGAGGACGACGGTTCTCAATGATGAAGCACTTTTTTCTCTCTGGCAAAATATTCTTTTTTTTTGCGCCCCAAAAAGCAGAGCTGAAAACTTGAAAGCGCCAAACAAAGAAATTCTTCCGGTGAATGTGAATAAATATTTTGTCGTTTTTGCACCATCTTTTCACGGCAATGCCTCAGCTCCATTTCACCAACCTCCCGCTGGCCGCCTCTTCCTGACCACACACATACACACAGAAACAGAAGGCACGAGGGGAAAACGCCGGGGAAAATTGCCCAAATTCCCATATACCGTGCTTTTGGTGAATTTCCTCTCGAATTATGTTTGGGGAGAGTCTGATATGATGGGAAAAAATTACCTGATACCACCCACATTGAGAATTATGCGATTTTCACCATCCATGTCTTTCCAGGCGCCTCTCTTGTCATGCAATCATCTCACATGTGAGTGGCGCCGTCAGTCGATCCACCAGAAAGAATTCTACGGGGAAGAAAAATGAACATTTTCAGTGATAATGAGACAGTGCGGATACATGATATCCCCCTCAAACATGATCCATCTCAGGCTGGATAAGAAGAAATAGCGAATTTTCTTGTCTCGAGCTTGTTCCTTTGAGAATTTCTTAGCACTTGCACAGAATATTCTCACATTTTCAGCAAAAGTTACCATACTGAAAAATTCTCTTTCTCTCACATATGCATGTTTCATTCATGCAGAGAAAATACGCAAGAGAATTTGGCATTGTCTATCATATGACCTAATTACATATCTCTAACTTGTATATAAGCTTGTATATGAATATAAATTCATATATAAATATTCACCAAATGAAAATGTGTGGAAAAAATTGATTGTGAATAAATTTTTCTACTTTAGAGCTCATTTATCTCCTTATAAGGGTCTATAAACAACCATTCACAACTCTCAGAATCTAATTTTTAATTAATAAGAAACTCAATGTTTTACCGATTAATTATGTCTTGCTGCCCTTTTGATAATATTAAGCTTCCCTCCGTCTTATTCACAACCAACATGTTAATCTATCAGAGAGGAGCAAAAAGTAAGACGATTATTTCTAGGTAACTCGTCTCTTTTCGCTAATGTCAATTGAAATGATTATGCTGATAAATTTCTCAGCATTAATTAAATATTGTATGTCTCTCTCTCTTCTCAGCCCCGCACTGAATAAATGAGCTTTCGGGGCGACGCGCAGAGCCTATCTGCAAATGCTTTTTCCTCTTTTCTGAGAAACTCCTTTTCCGCACCTCTGCCATCATTACCATGGATGGAAAGTATTTAATATCAAGCGAATGCGACAGTGTGTGCTCTTAAACGTGGAGAATATGCTAAGAGACAATCTCTTCAGCAGAATTTTATCTCGGATTTCATCTATACCTTGGCAGCTTCGAGGGATTTAACTGAGAACCAGAGAGTCACTGTATTAAAATAGGAGAAGAATGAAATTCACTCAGTATCTCAAAATTATCTAAATGGGCCTTTGTTCTATGCGAGTTGTCTGATATTTTTGCATTAAATTTTCGCCCGATTCAGCATAATTTACGAGTGGCAATTTCCTGATAAAGCCGCAAACTACCATTTTATGCACATTGCCGAGTGATACATAGTAATTTGGACAAATAATATAATTTGTTATAAATTTCACTTAATTCACAAATCATCTCAGGAAACTCATTAAGAACTTTTCCCGGGAAAAGTAATTTCAGCCACAAAAGTATCTCAACTGCTTTGCCAAACTGTGAAATTGGAAAAACTTTTCTATGCACCAGAATAACTAAATAAGTAGGAATTGTTTGCAAGAATGTCAATGGAAAAAGTATTCCAATTAGCCACACTCATTTCTCAAGCAGGTGTAAAGTGTTGAAAATCCACTGACAAACACAGAGTTTTCTCTTGCTTTTGGGACTGACGTGAAATTTATTTCAACTGAAAATTCTCTTTGTGCAGCGAATAAAATGAAATTAAAAAGAAAGATGAATAATAAATGAAAGACTTGATTTATTTATCTATTTCATTTTATGCACTTTAGATTTTGCATTCCATTTCAATCGCCAATCAGGAACGGTGTGAACAAGTGGCAATCGATAAGTCTATTAAAAAGTCTAATGGTTTAAAAGCACTCAATCAATAGAGCCATCCTCCATCCACACAGGCACTATGTGGAATTTGTTAAAGTGCAAGAGTGGGTGAATAAAAAGTTTCGAAAATTGGTGAGTGGCTCGTAAAATTTCTCATTTCCTGTCAATATTTTTACAACCGTCTTTTTCCCAAAGTGATTTTCCTAAGGATAAATTTCATGAGATAACAACGTGAAATATTACGACTGTTTTTCTCAACACATGAACATGGTTAGCTAAAGTATGATGACGCTTTTAATGATGGGAATTTTATTTATCGCCAAAGTATTGTGATATCTCGTGAAAGACACACATTTATTTGCCTTCCGCACGATTACACCCGCCGAGGACTTTCCAATTCACTACGTGCAATGAATGCGACGATAGTGAGTTTTAATGGCAAATTCTTGTATGATTTTTGCGTTAAATAAAAATATAAGATTGTCATGAAATCAATAAGGCGCCAAGAGATATAAATTATTCGGGAATGACTTTTCTGATTTTCAGCAGCGATAGTAAAATATTTTGTGATGCACAAGTGGCTGTAAAAATAATGAAGTGCTCATATAGAAATTGGCTACTGGATCATAAAATTGTTTACAGCGTATTTTCATTAAATCACGAGATGAGATACAACAGTTGTATTTCCGGGAACAAGGGCAGGAAGTTCTTAAATAATAAGGCATTTTGCAAGCATGATACGCAATTTTCAGATTTTCTTTTCTAGCTACCCAGTTTTATGTCGTTACTTAATTCTCCACCCGTCAATCTCGACTTATTTAAATTATTTGTTGATTTTCATTAATTTCTTATGAGGTTTTCATTATCGCCAAAAAGAATCATTATGGTTTGCGAAAGATTTGAAAGATTTTGAGTTTTGACAAAAGCTCTCAGCTCTCAATGAACAAGAAGTCCTTAAATTTTAGGGATAATAAGCTGTGTCACCCAAGTATGACTTCGAAAATTGAATACCTTTTAATTTTGCAAAATCCTTTATGGCGATTCTCATATTCGATAACGCCCTCGGCAATTCTGTTTAGGAAATCCTTTGTTGACATTCTCTCACGTCCGATGCCCCTCGATTCGATGGAGTGTTTCACGCACAATGTGGCAAACGCCCACCCCAAGGCGACATCATCGTCTACTCCCGAAAGCCTCGTCTCTCGCCTCGGGCTCCTCGCTCTGCTCCCAGGAGGCGGCTTGGGAGTGCTCTACAAATAGCCGATCAGTGATAGTATCGCATATAAATGGGGCGCACGGAAAGAGAGAAAATCATTGAATTACAGCACAACATGGGGTCGTATAGAGGCATTAGAAGAAAATAATCTTTCCGGACAAATCACACTGAAGAGCGTGGTACTGGCGAGCGGGACGGTACAGAATGTGGGACAGAATGAAAATAGTTTCTCTCCTCATCGTCAGTCGTTGGGGCTTTTGTTTCACCCTGAGAGAGAGCCCCGAACTAAAAGTCTCATTTACCGAATTGTCAATTTCAGGACTGAAGTGGCTCATTGCCCGAGATCCAAATCGCTTGTAATGAGTCTCATTGTTTGCTGTCCAGTTCTCTTCCTTTCATTCTCTTCATCTGCGGAAGACTCATGGGTAAACAGTCAATTCACAGAAGAATCTTCATAAATTAGTCAGCCACATTCCGACGCCTAATGGGGTTTGTCAATTTTTTTCCACCCACAGCAAAAAGTCCTTTATGACTCGAGAGGCGACTAATGAAAAGAAATTTTACCAAACATCTTGGGGTTAATAAATCTCGCCAGAGTGTCTATTTTTACACTTGGGAAATTCTTCATGCTGAAACCGGCTCATCCCCAAGAGTGCCAGTGGAAGGATTTCCTCTCCTCTGTAATTATCTCACCCTGGGCGGAGACGACTTTGATAGTAATTGATAGGTAAATCAGGGTCAGAGCCTTGTACTTAAGACCAATACTTGTTATCCTTTTGATACTTTAAGCCCATTAATCCGCAACACCCTCACAATATCCTCCACAAAATTAATCCCCAGCAACTGAGGTGAATTGCCTACAATTTTGCCATGACTAATGAATTTGTATTGTTTCCTCCTGAGAACGTCAAGGGGAGAAAAAGCTGAGACGAAACAATTTTGGGACGATCTCACAGGATTTCATATTTTAACATGGCCTTGTTATTAGTATGTGACGAGGCATGTTTTATGAGAATGTTCCCTGTTTTCATGACTAAAAAGTCAAGTCACTTGAGAATGAGTGAATCCCGTTGCGCAGCGAAAAACCAATATTATGAAATTAAAAAAACCCTCCAAATTAATTCTAAATGCTTTTATAATGGGAAAGAGATGTTCTATTTTTAAAGCCAGAAAGCCAAATTCCCAGAATAGCAATAAACTTGTATAGCATTTGATTGAAAAGGACATCTAAAATAGTGAATTTCCTATTATTGGGCACAATCTCATATTCTCTTTTTTAGATTGATGCTATTTTGAATCCATCACTGATATGTAACCAACAGTATCATTGAAAACGATTACGAATAAAATTTGCAAGAGTTTTAGCGAATTTTCCTTGTGTCAGCTAAGCTAGAAAACTTTCAACATTACAGAAACCTGAAGAGTGTACTTCGGGATTTCTCGTTTTCCCAAACTCCACGGAAAATATAACTTTTACAGTGTATTCTACAAAAAAATCAACTATCCGCTTCGATTGTATATATGAATCATTGCCATAAAAATTGAAGCGTGAAGACAAAAAAATCTGTCTCAGACTTCTGCTTAAGAGTGACTGAAGAATTTAGGAAAAATAGTGATTGAAAATGGGTGACTCGACTTTTTGGAAAAAAATCTTCCTTCACGTCATTTGGTTTGACAGAGTGAAGTGAGACTGCTGATGCCAAAAGTCTAGCCAAAAGGATTTCGTCGGATTATATTAAGAAATTCATCTTCTTTTCTGGTCCAAATATAAGTCAGCAGAAAACATGACCGCAAAAAGAATTTAATGCTGCAATCTCCTTGTATATCTTCATCTTCTACGTTTAGGGACAATTCGGAAAGGCAACCTCAATTTCCACAACTGTATCGTTTCTATAGTTTACAATTCATCGAGCAACTCGCATATCTTCTGGCAGAGCAGAGCTGAATGAGTTATTTTTAATATTGCCCAGCAACGTCCCCTCTCTGTCGTGCGGATGTTAATCAAATATCTTTTGTACATATTTTGTGGTATGTGCGAAGTATATATTGTATTGACAATGCGGAGAACCATGCAAATCACCCGCAATCTGGCCAAATTGTGATGAAGCCTTATTATTATTATATTGCGGAGAGATGCGCGAAGCTCGGACTTAATTGATTTATAAACGTCCGCCCGCGTGTGACGCTGGGGCCCGGCACTGTCGCAGCAGAGACGTTTTGTGCTGGGGAACTCTTGTCTCAGAGCATCGCGAGTGACTGAGGAAATTGAGGGAGCCCGAGTGGGAGTTGGGCGGCTGTAGAGTTGTGTAATCCAACTTGGAGACGTGCAGCTTGTTATAATTAAATTTCCTGTGATGTTTAAAATGAAAATTACTCATTCGACATCATTAAAACGTCGATGGAATTCTATTCTCAATAACATTGTAATTTATCCGCAATAACTGATATATAGTTGAATTTGCCCCGTGTTATTTCCTCATTGTTATTCGCTGGGACTGCCATCGCTTCTTTTTCCCACAAAACCACCCTCTTGGAAGAATGTCAGGCTGGCGGAAGTGTTGGAGCAATTGTGGGTACATCAGACACTTTCGCGCCATCTCTTCTAGCAAGAGAGGAGAATATAAATAATACATGGAGGAAATTTACTTCCCCATTCCAAAACTTTCTCTCTCATGCTTCGGAAAGGAATTGATTTTTCATTCCTCTCATCTTTTCATACTCTCCTCTCACTCCTTTTCACATTTGGCTTTTGTGCAGCCAACTTCCCTTCGGCTTCATCCCGTAGCATTGGTAGAGTCCCGAGAATTTTTCCACCACTTCGTTCTCATACTTTGTCGGCTTCCGCCGCACACTTTCCGCAAAATGCTGCCAACTTATAAATCTCTCAAAATATTTATTTATTTAACCATTACTAGCGTTGCCATCGCAAAAATGTACCACCGAGAATTGTGTGTGAGATTTACAGTTGCAATAATTGAAAACATAATTCAGGGAAGCGCCTTTAACAGTTGCTGCAATTTTCAATTTCACTTCGCAAATTATATGCGCATTTTCCGCCAAGATAATAAGCCATCAGTCAGATTTTGAAAAATGTAGTACCAAAAACAGACATTTCCGAGTTAAAATTTATTATTCGTATAGGAATTGCAAGCATAATGCAAATGTGAATCAACCAATAACCGGAAACAAGTACAGAACTGTATCGATTAACGTTCAGGAAGGCTGTGTACCTATATAAAGACCTTTTATACATATTCCTAACTTTCTTACAGTTGTGTAAAATTTAAAGGAGGACAAATCGTAGCAGAGAAAGTTCAAATACACAATTGAATTTATTGCTTATTCTGTATACTGTTTCCCTTGGGAAAATATCTCATGCAAGAGCACACATTTTTGTTGGAAGGAAGTTTGCTTACCCAGCAAAATCACAATAGTCTCAAACTACCCCAACGTCTAATCTAATATTAATAAAAAGTTCACATGCTCTAATATAATCTCTGTGATTCCACACATCACAGATGCGCTTCAAACACAAATTGATTTATATTTTCACCAACGGTGTCTTCAAAAGAGGATGTAATTACTCAAACTTACATCTCCGTCAGACATTTCTCACTCTACATCACGTCAAATCCTGAGCCAGAATGTCAAATCAAAGAAGCTATCAACATCTGGATGGACTCTTGAGTTGGGAAAGCAGATATGCATATGGGAAAAATTACGGTGTGAAAGAAGCTTATGAATTTTTCACGAGGAGAGATTTGTCCTGACAGAAGTACATGGTAACCATGTGTTGCCGCCCTCATTTGCCGTAAATGGTTTGATAGTCGCCGTGGAAGAGCTTTCGCCGCGAAGAAAGGGTGGGAAAGTGTGGTGAGCACTTACCGGAGATTACATAATTACACAAGGAAAATTACTCGTGTATTCATCTATTTGCACTGCACTGTGGCAGCACACAAATATTTCCACAATTTAATCTCGCAACCCTCAAGAAGAGCAGCTCGCTTCCATGCAAATGATTGAACTTGAAATTTTTATGCCCCATATAGTGCTTAATATAGTGTCGTATTTTTGTCCCTCGCTCGCTCTATTTAAAGCATTCTCACAGGAATATTCGCAATACGACTATAGTGTTATTGATCAATTCCAAATTTAAAGTTCTAATGTTCTTTATCATATATTTTCAGTTATAAAAGGGACTTTCTATTGTGGATCAGACAGAACTTCACTAAAAGATTCATTCCTTTTCCGTTTCTATAACGAGAATTCAATTTATACTCGTAATGCTTGTCCTTTTGTGTCATTCTTTCAGTGAATTAGCAATATATTCTGGGCTTGAGATAAAAGAATCAATGAAATCAATGGACTTATCAAAGAAACAATCGGGATTAAAAAGCAATTCACTCTGTTCTCCCCTTTTAAAGTCAAACAATCGGAACAGAGAAAGGGTTGTAGTAACACAATTCTTAATCTATCGCCTTTTATGGTTGTGTGACTTCTCCGGACCACGTTTTTCTGGGAATATTAATGTCAAATATTACCATCATCAGAATCTATGTACAGTAAATTGAGCGTTGGCATTACATTATGTAATCACCGCCTCATTTCAACCGTAAACTTTTGGTGCACACTGTAGATGACAGGGAAAAGGAGAGCCCTTGGGCATTTCCCGAAATGAGTTTTTCGCATACAAATTCAATAAGCATGTTCACAACTGGAATTTCATCTTTAATCGAGTCCAGCGTGTTCTTTGATCAACATTGTATTTTTTTATTTAGTCTCTCGGCGGTAATCTCCATGTTTTCTCGGAGGCAAAATTAAAAATTCATCCAACATAGTTTCCCTGGCTGGAAAAGAGTGCCACAATTCCATTCGGATGGTGGAGAAGAGAGAGGGTATTATTATTTCCTTCTGCACAGTTTCACTCAATTTTTCTCCATTCTACTCCATTATTTAGCAGATCCCTCCAAGCTCATATTGCAATTCTGCTCTTTTTGCGTCCCTCTCAGCCCATCTTATTCTTGTATTCAATTACTTTTTTCACTTACCACACACACTCACTCAAATTATGCTGAGTCTTTCCGGAGCACACACAGAAATTCCTCAACCAAGAGAGCAATAGTTTTTTTATCCCTTTGTCCTGTGATGCACTTGAGCTCCGCGCTAACTGGCGAAAGCTCACGGAGCGGAAGTGGAAGCAAACGACTGACGATGACGATATCAATTGATTCAGTACCGCGAGGGACGCACAGCGGTTGAGCTTAAAGCTCGACCTTTTTCACCCCACTAGAGCGCACGCAAACCGAAAATGTGGTCCAGACGCACCGAAGTCTCCTGAATCTCTGATTCTCCCACATCATCTGACACGGAATCTTGGGACATCGGCTCTCTCGCCGACTCCCGCGCTCTCCCACTCTCTCTCGCTCGCACAGAGTCTCTCCCAAAATGTTGGATGGAAATTTTTGCGCAAGTACGGGATCTCAGTGCGAAAATGAAGACAGTTTTAATGTAAATTCACCATCTAGCACATGAATATGGAGCATTTTGGCCAGTGAATGCTCCTGATCGCCCTCGATGTGTCACTGATAGGAAAGTCAACAGTGTCCCTCGACCCGCCCCAAACTCACCCCAACTCTTCAGCCGTGCTAAAAATTAACGTGAGGGAGCAATTGTGATCCAGGCAGGGTGTGTGTGCCCTCCGTGTCATCCCCGAACGAAGCATGGAAAAGCTCTCAACGCAGAATTAATGTATGCCAGCAAGATGGTTTAGATTATTAAACTTTGTCGCATCTTTCATCGCCCCTCGAGCCACTGCGCGATGTTTCTTTTCTCACAATTGAGCACACACTCCAGTTCATTCATTTGCTCCCAGAGGAGCAAACAAATCACTTCTTCTAATGGGGCTTTTGTACTTCAGCCTGGCCCAGAGTCAAGAAACGGTAATAAAAACAAGACTTCTCTCCCCTTAATTGATGGCATGGCCTTTCATGGTCCTCCCATGGCGCGGGAAACAAAGAAAGCCCACCTCATGAGACTTTATTGCATTTGAATGGGAGCGTATGAGAGAATGAGCTTCCTCAAACGACATAGAGTCCGGAAAAAGCCTTTCACAATCAAAACCTTCGAATTATATTGCTAAACTTTTCACTAAAACGCAAATCTTCGCAGTATCTTTGGGAAAACTGTATCTAATTTTCCAGATAACATGACAAAGGATGAAAATAGAAATTGTGAAAAAATGTTCTTATTTTCAACAAATTTCTAAACTCAATTTCGAATGTGGTCTAAAAAACATATCCTTAAGGATGAAAATGTAATTTCCTCGAGCAGCCACAGCAGCTCTTTCATGCTTGTGGTCCCACGATGAGAATATTGAAGTGAATTTCTTCGTCAAAGTGTTGCATAGTTGATGACATTTCCCCAACAAGTGTGGAATATAGTTTTTCCTCTCGTTCAAGGGACTCAACTTCCCACAACGACATGCCCTTTTTGCTTCATAATTTTCCTTGTGGGATGGCTTTTTATTATCCTCTCAGCTCAATTCATACATGGAAAAACGCACATGTAGCAGCACACATAGTCCTCCATGGACGCTTTTTTATTGGAGGGTCATCCCCATAAATCCCATTATGTCGTTGTTGACGACATCTACCTGGGTATCTCGACATTCCCGCGCCTGGAACGTCCTCGTGCCCGAGAAGTCCACCCCTCGAAAACACAGCTCTTTGGCACGAGCAATAAAAAAGATGAACTGCTGAGAGAAGATGATGGTGAAGTATGGCTTATCACAATTTATGGTTATGTGAAAATTGTTTCAATTTCAATTTGCCCAACCGAACTATCTTTCATGCCACTCTGCTTCCTCCTCATTTATGCATTCTCTCCCTTTGTTGCTCTGCCGACCATCCAATAGCCTTTAAAGCATTTTCACCGCTTGATTCGCAATTATTCGTTGAACGTTTCTTTGGCACGATCTACAAGCAGCTTAGCTATTCACTACACCGAAGAACATTTTCGCGTCTACTGAAATCCGGAAAATCTCAAGAATTCACCTTAAAAGTATGCAGAATTCGCTGCATCACTTGACTTGACGTACTGAAAAAATTATGCGCACATTGTTGGCGTCAGAGACACTTTCCAGGTCATTTCAAGAACGTCCCTGGAAATTGCAATCAATGTGGGGAGAAGCAACTTCATGGATATTTGAAATACAAGAAATAATTGCCAGTGATTAATAAATCCCTTTGGCTCACCATTTCTTTGGCCGCCTTTTTAAATCGCCTTGAGACACACTTTTAGGCTCAGAAGAGTTTGCGACATCATAGAAAAATGGCGCAAAGTGAGAGTGCGAAAGTGAGCTTGACGGAAATTTACGCAAGACTTCTTCATACGTTGGATCAATGTGTGATCAAATACGATCTGCAAATACCTGTGCAAGACAACTCGTGGCACTTCAGCATTCTCCAAATTATTACTTATATCATTCTGGTTGTCTATCCTTTCATGGTTGCTCATACTGTATTGTTAAACTCGGACGACTTCATTCTTTTGATATACTGCCTCACAACGTCAGGAGTTATTATAGGGGTTATGGGCAGACTTTATACGATTCAGTTCAAGTGGAGAAAGTCCCGTGACATGACAACAGAAATCAACAAAGTGCTCCAGAGAATGGAAGCCAGTTATCACGTCCGGAATATATCCGAGAAGTTTCTTCTGCTGTCCGAAAGAATTTTCGTATTTGTTAAGACGACTTTCTATTTCTGTTCATGTATTTTGTTGACCTATTCTTTATCTGTTTTCTTAATGACCGGGCAAAAAATACTACCCTACGAATTCTACATTCCTGGGGTTGATCACACAACCACACTTGGATACTTTGAAACATACGGATATCAAGTTATCGTGACAAAAGTATGCATGGATATCATTGTCTACACATCCGGACACTTCTTCAGCCACATGGTTATCGGATGTGGTCAGATGCAAGTCCTTGAGCAGTACATTAAGGATCTGGATTATCTGATCTTGGAAGGAGACTGGGAAAATCGACAACTAAAGCTGGATGAAGAGACCAGACAGTTCAGGAAGAATGTCCGTGAAATTATCGGCAAGCTTGTGATTGAGCATCAGAGTCACATTAAGACAATGCAACATTTCAATGACTTCTACAGTACTCATGGATTCATTGTCACTATGTGCGAAGTGGTAATTTGCGTCTGTGTTATATTTTGCATGATGTCCTCATTTTGGATTCAAGGAATTGGTCTCATTTTTTGCTGTTGTGGTGAGATCTTTGCAATCACTTACATGGGAAACATTTTTACTACTTTTTGTGAGAACTTTGAGAACGCTATTTACAACTGCAAGTGGTAAATTTACTTACAACAAGAGCAAAAGGTGAAAAACACACTCAAGTGTTTATTATCCAGGTATTGCCTACCAACGGACCTTCAAAAGGACATTATTATAATCCTGAGAGTTGCCCAAAATCCCATCATGCCGACAATTGGAAACTATCTACCTTTGCAACTCAGGACATTCTATCTGGTGAGTCTAAATCTCTCGAATTATACTTTTCACTCTGCTTTTTCTTCCATCTTTCAGTGCATGAAGCAAGTCTACAGCATTTCAATGTTCCTCTTCAATTTTGTCTACTAAATATGATGTTGCTGGAAATTGGACACGACATTCTAATTAATTGGGTGAAAGTGCAGAAAAATGTTACGCTTTCCGTAATGAATACTAGTGAAAATTTTTAGTAGCGTGTTTAGCAAGCCCACAAAACTGAGATGTAACTTGTCTCGTGTAGTCTTATGTTATTCCCTATTTAAATGGTAACAGTTTAATAAATAGATACATTTCCTCATTGAATTTATTAAGCTCATTAATATGTGCATTTAGTAAACTTTTTAATGGGTTTCCACATCATTTCCACTTTAATATATTTTAAAGTCTACCAATTGAGCGAGTTAGTGTATTTCATTATGCTAAAACTTTCTCGAAATTTCCTTACCATTCGCACTGTGCGCATTAGCCAGTGAGAACAGTTTCCTGGACTGAAGCCAATGAAGCTCACTTCCCTGGATGTGTCTCTGTATTTATTGGAGTGAAATTGTAACAACTTTAATTATCCTCTTGACAACATTAGGGCTCATCTCGGCGAGGCCGCATGGAAAAGTTTCTTGATTATCTTGCATCATCAAATGACATCTTTTGGAAGCGAGGACAGTGTCTTTCGGAGAGATAAAGGGAGATGTGCAGAAAATTCAATTTGTATGCGAAACAATTCACCAATTTGTGGGGAAATTAGATAAAATCAATGAACCCACAGTTTTTTTTCGGGCTCTGTCAATCCCCCAAGTTCGAGCAGGGAGTAAACTTTTCCGGCACGTCCAGGTAGGGAGAAGGCCTCAAGTTGCCAAAATGTACAAGACGTTCCAGACGACTAAAGTCTGTGGAGTGCAGATTGTAGCAAGTGATTGAATCAACTTTGGTGGTGTCCCCACCCTCGGGCTGTTGATGGCCCGAGAGAGAGAGGAAAAGCTCACTGCCTGCCTTTGTCCATATAACTTGGCTCATTAAAATCAATTAGCTTCTCTGGGGAGAGATGAGAATCTTTCGGTGTGGCACAGTGAGGATTTTTTGGGCTTGCGCCTCTCGAAAATGGCCCCTTGTATACTTTTTCCTCTTCATTAAATTTTCACAGCAAATGAGAGAAATGCTGATGGGTGGAAATTTTCCCCAAGATGAACATTCCTCCACTCGTGACACCTTACGATAATCACCAATTTACACAAGTCCCCATAGCTTCGAGCTACTCTAGCATCACACAATAACTTCAAACTCAAACTCTGTGAATTTCTGCAGGGTGGAGAAATTAAATAGTCAATTCAATGGCTATGGAATTTTTCAGTCATTTCCTCGTACGTTGGCGGCGAAAAGGAGAAAATAAAATATTTCAGTCCAATAGAAAAGCACACATTGCATTATTCGGCCCCGGAGTCGCAGAAAAAGCACCACACAGTTGCTCAATATACAAAGCAAATAATAATTCCCTTGGAAAATGTTTCGAAATTCCAGTTGAAATGAATGAGAAGTTGGGTCGCTGAATGTGGCGGCTAAAGTGGTTTTCCGTGGCTCGGAATGAGCGCAGTTTTGGGGTGATGGAGAAGATGGCATGAGAAGCTTTTTTGACGAATAATGTGACAAGCCCCAAAATTCATAAACATAATGAATATTTTCAATTTCAAAGCATTTGTGTTGCTTTGTCTAGCACATTTGCCCTAAAAGCTCGCACTGTCCATAAAA